TTGTTTCTTCTTTCTTAATATATAGCCACTTACACTTCCCTCTTTCTCTAATTTAGCTGCACCTTACACATTTTGTTATGTTGTGTTTTTGTTTTCATTTACCTCAAATTATTCCAGCTCATCTCGTGATTTTTTTCTTTGATTATTAATGAATGTGTTACCTATATACATATTTGTGATTTGTGAATTTCCCAAATATTTTTCTGTCATTGATTTCTAATTTAATTCTATTGTAGTCTGAGAAAATACTTTTAATGTTCAATTCAGACTTGTTTCATGGCCTAACATGTGATCTATGTTGAAAAGGGTTCATAGGTGCTTGAGTAGAATCTTCTCATTGTTGGACGGACTATTTTATAGACTGTTCTATAGTGTTGTTAAAGTCTTCTGGGCCCTACTGATTTTCTTTTATTATTAAAAGTGTAGTATTGAAGTTTCTGACTTCAATTATTATTGAATTGTATATTACTCCCTTCAGTTTTAGTTTTGTTTTATGTAATTTTTGGTTCCATTGTTAGGTACATATATGTTTATAATTATTACATATTCCCAATGGATTTATTATGCTTGTCTTTATTACCACACATAACTTTTTTTTTGGTCTTAAAGTCTAACATTTGCATAGCTAGTCCAGCTCTCTGATAGCTGCTATTTGTGTGGTATATGTTTATCTATCCTTTTACTTCCAACCTATTTGTATCTTTGACTCCAAAATGTATCTCCTATAGATAACATGTTATAAACATGCCTCAAAAGAACACAGGGCATAAAAAAAAAAACTATGGGTAGGAAAATAAGGAATGACTTTACAGAGGTAATGACATTTGAGCTAGGTTTCAAAAGATGAATTGGAGTTTGCCAGGGAGAGGGAAGAATATGACAATGACATGACCAGAAAGTACATGATATGTTTGGGAAACCAAGGGTATTTTGAGGGCTAGAGGGTAGATTGAGAAAGGAAGAGAGGTTAAAGATGAAGCTAGAGAAAAAAGATTGATGCTGGATCATGGAGGGCCTGGAATCACTCTGCCTTTTATTTTTTTAAAACTAACTTTTGCCATTATTGAAGCTGTTTTACCTTTCCTATCTGTGCTTGGTCAAATTTTGTGCACTCACAAATCCCACTCTTCCTCTCTCCCCAGATTCCTCTGATTCCCTCAGTTATAACAGAGTAAATCCTAGAAAGTATAAATCCTAGAACACAAGACATGGCCTTAAACGCTGCTTTGCCATTTACTTTGATTACTGTTGATAAGTGTTATTTCCTAATCTAACATGAACAGAATATGTATGATAAGACCTCAGTGGTATTAATTAGTAAGGGTAAGGCAAAGAATCCCCCAAATTTTAGATATGTAAATGATAGCCACAACAGTAAATTGCAACATAACATTTTTATTTGTATATTTCTTCCAGTCATTAGGAAATCCTAAAACCTATATCCTATATCCTGTCTTACATTTTTCTATATGTGTGTATTTTATCTTTTTCAACATAGGGCTCCTTGAGAAGGACCATGTCTTTTTTTTTCACTGTTTAATACAACACATTTTAATGTAAAAATGATCAATATTTTGTACATTCCACTTTCTTTGAAAAATTGAGTCAGGTTATCACTTCCTATTTCCATAATAGTTCAACATCACAGATTGAAAGCAGATGATTTAGAAAACAGCCGGTGTCTCAGATGAGGATGACTTCCAAGGACCATGTCTGAATCATTTTGTACATAGAATAAACCCTGCCCAGAAGTTCACTGAATGAGTAAATAAATTGATGATGTCAGATAACAGTGAACACCTGAAGAGGGGTTGTTTGCTTTCTTATTTTGTATTTTGGTTGCACTGTACCTGAAACCTTTTCCTCTATGTGAGTCTTGATGGTAGACAGGATTCAGCTTTCTTTAAGAGAAGCCAAAGGTACCTAAAGTTTCCCTCTCTGGCCCCCTTGCTGCTAAGGCAAAGGCAACAAGATCTAGGCTTGATTATTTGCATATTCCCAACAGGAATTTGAATCTTGAACAAATGATGTGAAGGCACAGGGGATACAGGCAGCAGGCATTGGTGAGGAAGCCCACGGTTCCAGCTGTGGCATCCTTAAGTAGACCACTCCTGTGGTGTGTCTCTGGCTGTGATCCCTATTTTCTGAGCATGACTAACTCTGATGATTACTTGATAGCCTTCTAATATGATTATTTCCTTCTTAAATTTGCAGAGTTGGTTTCTGCTGTTTGCAATTAAGAATACTGGCATAACTCTGGGGTAAGGACTTGGAGAGAAGGAGAAAACAGGGGCTTTTCAGTTTTTTCTTTGTAAATTCTTTGTTGTCACTGTTGTATTACTTTTGTCATTTAAAAATTTGCTTTTAAGGACTGGAGGTGTGGCTCAAGCAGTAGAGTGCCTGGCTTTGTAAGCACGAACCCCTGAGTTCAAACTCCTGTCTGACCAAATATATATATATATATGATTTTAAAATAAATAATCTAGAGTTCATATGCATAAAGAGAAATGGTAAAAAATAAAATTAGGCAATTGGGTTGGGGCTACATTATGCACAGCCTTGAATGTTACTTCAAAGATTCTGGTGTCAGTTCAAGGAATCACTACTGTAATCGTCGCTACTCAGGAGGCAGAGATCAGGAGGATCATGGTTTGAAGCCAGCCTGGGGATATAGTTCATGAGACCCTATCTCAAAAAAAACCTTTACAAAAAAGGGCTGGTGGAGTGGCTCAAGGTATAGGCCCTGAGTTCAAACCCCAGTACCTCAAAAAAAAAAAAAAAAAAAGGAAAAGATTCTGAATTTAACTCAGCAAGTATGGGAAATGTATTTTATTTTATTTTTCGTTTGAAGAGATTTTTATTGTATCATTCCTTTTTTCTTTTCTTCTTTTATTTTATCATTTTTACATTTACCTACATGTGTGCACATTGTTTGTGCCACCTCCCCCCTACCCCAGCACAGGAAATTTTTTTAAATGACACAATCAGACCTATGTTTTGATTGCAGTGTAGGAAATGAGTTAGAACACAGAAAAATTAGAGACAAGGAGAAAACAGAAGGAGGCTGTCACCATGCTCCAAAGAAAATAAGACAGGAAATTCCTCAATTTTGAGAAGAGAGGGAGAGGGAGAAAGAGGTGTCTTTCTGTGGGCACACAGGTTGAGTTTTCTGGAAGCAGATGTTGACACAGAGTTTGAAGTGCAGGATGTTTTCTAGAAGGAGGAAGCAAGACTGACTTAAGGTCAAACTGTGTTGTTGACATTCAAAAGACCTGGTCAACCTGGCAGGGAGCTCTGGAGTGAATACTGCACATCAGTGTTGTCCTGCCATTGGCAGAAATGGCTGGATCTTTAGACCCCTGCCTTGCTCAGTCACTAGAGGAGGGCAGTCACAGGATGGGCATGACCTCATTTGTGCAAGACTGTTTTGTGCAGCTGAGGCAGTCATTTAGGAACTGAAGCATTTGGAGGCCCTGTGCAGGTGGACAAGAAGCCTTTCCTTGAATGTTGAACTAAGGTGGCACAGCTCTGTGTCTACCATTGAGAAAGACAGATTACGGTATCTTGAATGAAAGCAGTAGGGGTGGAAGGGATGGAATGGGTTCTACACAAATTGCATTTTATAGATGGTGATAAAGAAGAGGGAGCAAATAAAGGTCTATGTTTGTATGATTTGATGGTAATTCTGATATCTATTAGCACATGTTAAACAATGGAAGAGATAGAACAGGTTTTGGGAAAAGATAGCAAGTTTAATTTTGAATAAGTTGACTCTGAAACATCTGCAAAATATTAAAGTTGAGATGATTTTCAAGAATCAGTGCAGGGATGGAAGTGTGGCTGTAGCAGTAGAGCACTTGCCTTGAAAATGCAAGGCCCTGAGTTCAAACCCCAGTACCATACACACACAGAGAGAGAGAGAAAGAGAGAGAAAGAGAGAGAGAACCGGTACAGGTGCAGGAGTAGGGAGATAGCTCAATCACAGAACACTTGCCCAGCCTTTGTGAGTCCTGGGTTTGATCCCCAACACTATCAAAGGGGAAATCAGCCCAAATGGAGCATTTGGAGGTCTGCAGCCACGGCTGTTCTGACTAACACATATATTAGTCTACATATATTATTTTATCTGATACTTATAATGCCTCTATGAGGTAGGTGTTATTTTTCTTACATCATTTTTGTATGTTTTATTATCCTTCTGTGAATGGAAAAACAGACTTGGAGAAGCTAAATGCCTGGCTCAAAGTAGTAAAAAATAAGGTTTGATGACAAAATACATGGTCTTCCTCCCACTTCCCCTCCACCAAAGACTGAACTCAGGGCTTCTTGTTTGCTAGGCAAGCACTGTACCATTTAAGCAATGTCCAAATTGCTTTTAGTTTATTTTTAAGGTCTCATGCTTTTGTGGACTAGGGTTTGAATTCATGGTTTCATATCATTTGAACCACACCTCCACCTCCATTTCACTTTGCTTTTTTTTTTTTTTGAGATGGGGGTGTCTCTTGAACTATTTGCCTGGGCTGGCCTTGAACAGTGACCCTCTGATCTCAGCCTCCCAAGTAGCTAGGATAATAGGCATGAATCACTGGTGCCCAGCTTAGGGTCTCATGCTTTTTCCTGAGTCAACCATCTAGGAAAGATTGTCTTATATCTGCCTCCTGAGTAGCTAGGAGTACAGGCATGTACCATTATGTCCAGCTTAAAACACATGCTTCTAAAAATAAAATTATATTACTCCTTCACAGAAACCTCCACGAATAGATGATATTGTAGTCGTAGAAGCCAGCAGGTCACCCAGAAAGGGTACGGTTTTAAGGGGCTCCTCTTAGAAGTAAAAAATGGCATTCTAAGGAAGCCAACATTTCCAGGGTGAATTGAGTAAAACGACATAATCAAAGGGATTGAGAAAGGTTGGAACAGGTTTTATAAATGAGAAGTGTAGTATCTCAGAAGGTAGGGCAAAAAAAAAAAAATACACAAAGTTAAATGTTTCAGATATCATGGAGAATAGAGTTGGATAATTACAGGCCACTGGTTATCTTTGAGCACTTTATAGAGAAGCCAGACTGTAGTGGTTGAAGAGGGAGTGGGAGATGATAAAAATGAAAGCAAATAGTATAGGTCACTTTTCCAGAACTTTTGTAAAATAGAGGAAATAATTATGACTCATACATAAATAAGGAATTGAGTATTTTTACTTGATTAATTAATAATTCATTGCTTCCATATTATTTGGATTTTACAATTCCATCATTTCTTTGGTTACATGTATCTACCCCTAATTATACCAGTGTCCCTTCCCAAGTTGGACACACCTAGAAGAATTGAATGTTGCTTATTTTGGTGGTGGACAACTTATTTTATTTACTTATGTGTTATGAATGCCTCAGGTGATCTGTCTGTCTTTAGAGAATGGTCATAGCCCCTGTCCTAACTTCACCATCTGTTTTCCACAAAGACAGATAAGCAGTCACTTCTCAAACCACTTCAGCAAAGCATGCAAGTTCTTGGCAAACCGAGTACTTTGTCTACCTAGTCTTCCTGTTGTGTTCCCTCCCCCATACTCTTGGTGGGCAGGTCAGGGAGAAGAAAGGAGCTGTCACTCCACATCTTCTGTGATATGATGTTCCAGTTGGAGAGTCTGTTCCGCTTTATGTGAGCTGAGACTTTCCCTTGCCAGCCCCTGTCAATCCAGCCCTTTCTCAGAGGGGACTGTAGAGAAATTAACAGCGCCGTCCACCTGTGCACAGGAAGATGCCCACAGCCACACCAGCAATGATGAAACTGCCCACCAGGACACCCAGGACCAGCGAAGTGTAGGAGCGGCCTGTTTGGCTCCCTGCAGAACATGCAGAGAGTTAACCTAAGAACATACTCTCCAGGAGTTCCACAGTTTGAGCCAGTCTCCAAGGAAAGAAGACTTAAGCTGTGTGTTCCCCTATTTCCAACCCCCAACCCAAGTCCTCTTGTTGCTCAAGGTATCCATCCCTCATTCAGGTCCATAATCTTGCCTAGAACCCAGACCCTCCCCAACACACAGCTCCGACCTGAGTCCCATCATACCTTTTGAATTTTTCACAGCGTTGTGCTTTTCCACGTACTGCACACAGGTGTCCTGCAGGAATTCCTGCAGTTCATACCGGGTACGATTGTAGGCATTGAGCTGCTTCAGGGTGTAGGTGACCACTGTGGAGGGTGCCTGGGGGCCTGCCACCCACACGGCTGTCTCTGGCTGGAAACTCACAAAGGAGCTCCCATTAACAGCAACTTCGAAGAAGACGTGGGCTCCAGAGCCCTCAGAAGGCAGCTCGCAGCCCAGGAAGCAGCTGATGGTGAGAGGAACTGCGGAGGGGGATTCAAGGTTAGGGCTGTGAGGAGATGGAGCCAGGTGTGTATGCGTGTATGTGTGTGTGTGGGAGGGGGATGGTCCACCAGGTGGAAGGGGACAGAGTAGGGGGTTCTGAGGGAGAAGGGCCCGGCAGAGAGGTGGCAGTGGGGAGGGGTTTGGGGTTAGACTATCGGAGGAGGTTGTATATGGAGGTGCCAGGGACTGTGAAGAAAAAGGGGCCTCTGAGAGAAAGGAGTTGGGGCTATGAGGGGAGGGAGAAGAAATTGGGGTCTTTGAGGGGAAGGAGTTGGGGGTTGTGAGTGAGGGAGCTGCGGGAGAAGCCATTTGCATCTGTGAGAAGTGGCTGGAGGGTTGAGGGGAAGTGCTGGGGGTAGTGTGAAGGAGAAGATGGGGGTCTGTGAGGGGAAGGAGTTGGAGGACGGTGAGGCAAAGGCTGGGAAGACTGCAGTGAAACTTTGGTGGTCACAGTGGGTCAGGACCAGGGTCTTCCATCAGGATTCGCCCGAGGCTTATGTCAGCCTGAAGACGGTCTGATGGAAGACTCCCTTTGCTAGGATACCCGCTCCTCTCCGGCTCCCACCCACCAACCTCCAAGGGTGGAGGCACCCCTAAGGGCCACACCCACAGACCACCCACCCAGAACACCCTCTTCCGGCATAACCCAGCTCTTCCACCGAGCGCAGTCCCCCAGGCGCCGCCCCCACCCGGCGCCAGCACTCACAGGTTACGCTGCCCTTGCGCTCCCGGTGCACCACATGCACCAAACTGTAGAACTGGTTCAGGTAGAGCTGCAGGCTTCTCTCCGTACGGGCCCAGCTCTCCGGCTCCTCCAAGGGCTGCAGCTGGAGGATCGTGACGTTGTTGCCCGGGCCTTCCAGCGTGTGTGTCAGCTGACCCCCCAGCGACGCGTTGCCATGGTGCCACACATGCGAGGGGTCCTGGAAGTAGGAGATCTGTAGCATGTGGAGGCTCCGTGGGCCTGGGGGCAGAGTCAGCGCGTCAGGACCTCTGGCGTAGGAGGGGTGGCTGGTAGCAGGAGATAATAACCCCTTACCCAGAGCCCAGCCGCCCACCTTCTTGAATCCTATAAAGTACCCTTCCACTTTTCCCCTATTCGATGCTCACAATGACCCTGACAGGAGGAGAGGACAGATTATTCTCTTGCTTTACAGATGAAGAAAATGAGGCCTGCAACTGGAAGAGACACTCCTTTCTGTCTCCTTTCTGTCCCTCTCCCCATTTCTGGCTGGTCAAATTCTGACCTACAATCGGATCCTGTCCCTGTCTTCCTCTACCACTGTCTTAGTTCAGGCCTCATCTGTTCTTATCTGGACTAGGGCACTAATGTCACCTCATCCCATTGCCTTCATTTCTCAGTTTCACCCCTTCTAATTGGACCTCCACCTGACCCAGTCCTTCTCCTTAAAGCCCTCCAGTGACATGCTCCTCCTCTATACAATAAAAAATAATAATAGCTAATATCCATTAAGTGCTTATTATGACTTGGGCACTGTGCTTTACACACATTATTATCTAATTTGTGTCTTCCCCCAATGACATAGATAGTAGCTACTATTATTAACCCCAGTGTTCATGGGAAACTGAAGCTAAGATGATATAGCAGAACCAAGGTTTGAACATAGGTAGTCCAAGTCCAGTACTCTTAGCCAGTTTGTTGCACTGCCTCCCCAAAGGATATCTGTCCACAAGATCTGGTTAGGGATTCAAGGTTATCAGCTGAATTTTCTGGTCTGATCTCAGTGCTTAAATACATCAAACCACTTGGGGGTCCTTAGGCTGACTTTGGGCTGAATAAGAATAGCATGCCAGGGTTGCTCTTCCTCCTTTGTTTTTCTTGGTTGCTTCAAGACCCTCTCCTTGGAGAATTTTCCTGATACCTCTCTTCTTTACCCTCCCAGATACTTGGTGATCCTAGAGCACTTTGTGTCAGCATATACTTCATGGGATTCTAAGTGGCTATCTCTAAGCACACAAAGCTACACTGAACTATTTTAGGTTATGGAACAGCTCTGGTTATCTATGCCTTCAACACCTAGAAAAGGGCCAGGAACAGTGTTGGTGCCTAGGGAATGTTGAGTGAGTGTGGGGTTTGTCTGAGTTTGAGTTTGAGAAGCTGAGCTCTATATTTGCAAGTCTGAATAAGTGTATCAGTGTGAGTAATCTTGGGCATGGTCCTTAACTGCTCTATGAATCCATTTCCTCCTCTGTAAAATGGATATAAAAATATTACCCACTTTGTGGGGTACTGTGGTAGCTAAATCATTTAATACATGTGTGAATTAAACATAGTGAGCACTTATTGCATACTGGTTATTAATTGTCCCTTCTCTGAGGGGGAGACTGAGGGGGGAGAGGAGACCCTTGAAATTATAATGCAGGATAACAACTCCCCTTTTCTGTTTAAGTGGGGGGCCACTTCAGGCAGCCTGATAGCCCATAAGCTGTCCTACTGTGGGCATAGCTTCTCTTTTCTCTAAGACCCACCACACAGGCTGTACCCTGCCTTCCCCCATCTTTCCTATCCTGCGTTCTGCCTCACCTGTCTCAGACCTAGTTTTCTGTCGGTTCTCCCAGGGGCTTTCCATTCCCTTACCCCATCTCCCAGTCCCTTCCCTTCTTTCTAGACTGATCCTTTCCTAGACTGTCCCTCTCCCTCTTCACCTCATTTCTCCCCTCTCTCCCATGCTGGTTCCTCACCCGCTCTTACATGTACCTTTTCTATTTTTCCAGCCCTCCTCTTTCTCCTAACTTCCCCCAGATCCTCCTTCCCAGAGAGTTAACTGGACTTCCTCTCTTTGGCTTTGGGACACAAACCAGTGCCTGGCACTCTGCATGCGCTACAGAGAGATCCAGCAGACAGATGCCGTGGGATTAGCTCTCCAAGAACCAGGAGAGGAGACAGTCCCCAACTCACCATCTGAGGCTTCTTGGCTACAAAGGGCCCAGCCCGGCAGTAGTAACAGTAGCGGCAGCAGCAAAGGCAGCAATGTAGTCAACATCCTGGGGCTGAAGTTCTTGATCCCACCTGGGCTCATGGCTTGCGCAGGCTGGGGCTCCACTGGCTGCAGCCTAGGTAAAAAGAGAAGCGAGGATGTCCAGGAGGGATGGGAGTTGAACCGAGCTGGATGAAAAGAGGCCAGGGAATGGAAAGAGGAAGAGGGTGTCAGGCTTTTAAAGTGTTATTTCTATGTGTCTCATTTCCTACAAGGGGGCCGGCCTCTCTCCTGCCCTCCCTCGGCCCCGCCCAGCTTTGCGTACTCCTGCCCAGACCTGCCTTTTCCCTTCTCCCTGGGCTGCTTCCGAGGAACAGCAGCGGAAAAGGGGGAGAAGCGCTTGGTGAGAAGTCCCGCTGCCGCTGAGTCAGGGGGTGGAGCATCTGTTTTCAACTTAGAACAGGCTCCAGGCTGTAGAGATCAGCAGGTTACTGATGGGGAAACTGAGGCCAGGAAAAGCGTAGGGACTTGCCCAAGGTTTATACACCATAGTGGTGATAGACCCAGGACTAGAATTTAGTTTTCCAGTATTATTGCCTACATTTTATCAGAATTGCCTACATACGAATTACACAATCAGGGATCTTGCTCTCAGAAATTGAACTTTTTCCTGATTTTCCAGCGAAAAGGAAGGGAATGTTGATCCTGGAATCACATCAAATTAAAGCTAGAGACTGTAGAAGTGGACTAGATTGCCATTTAAAAATTCTGTCTTAGCCTTTAATCAATACATTTGTTATTATTCTCATTAATATGGAGAGAATGGTCTGACTGGGTCCAAATCTTGACTCTACTACTTATTGGGTGTGAGACATTGAACAAGTTATTAAACTGATCTTCAAATTTTAAAATCTGTACTTCAATTTTTAAAAATCGTTAAAATGGTCATAATAATACTATCTCAGAGGGTTGTGGTAAGGATTCATGGTGATGATGCCTGTAAAGTAGTAAGAACCGTGCCTGGAATATATTAGTTGCTATATAAATGCTCGCTATTACCAATACATTTGACCATTTCTAATCCCTCCTCTTTTCTCCTCTTCCTTGATCAGTTGGCAAATACTCAAAATCCATTTGGAATGTTTTCCTATGGTTTCATGGATTTTGGGGGGGGGATTTCTGCCAATGATAGATGATGAATTCCATTTTCTGATTTTTTGCAATAACTCTGTGTGGATCTGTTAATAATTTCCTATGCCAAGAGGTAGTCTCACTCTTACTTTCCACATATGGAAACTGATTCTCCAAAAGGGAAAATAACTTGCCCAAGATTACACACAGACAGTGGCTAAATCAGTAATAAAACCAAGAGATACTAACCACCAGTCCATGGCTTCCTCCACTCAACACAGAGTCCAAGGACATTGGCATTAAATACTGATATGACCCACGTACTGTTCAAACTCCATTCACCAATGGAAGATTTGATCACTCTATCATTTCAAGTATTCTTAAACAAATGTCTTTCATGTCTAACAAAATTTCAATTGGAACAGATGGTAGGGAAAGGACCCACCTCTCCCTGGGATACTGGGACAGAAGTTAAGCATCATTAGAGCACTGTTAAATATTGTTAAAGTACTATTACTGATAAGCCTTTGTTGTGAGCACTCTTTTGAAAGGTGCTTTGGATCCACAGAAGACAAACTGCCCTATCTGCCACTTCCACTTAGGCCAGAATTGGGGGGGGGGCGGGTTAAAGGGGGTTGGGGGCCAGCACCTCAACCCAGTGAAAGACCTGCAACTGGTGCAAACACAACACTTCATTTGCATAAGAGTCTGTACCATGATTGGTGCAAAAGTGAGGAGACTGCGCTGATTGGATACCCTTGTCCCTCCCTTTCCTGGCTATATAATCAGGATGCTCAACTCATTTTGTGAGTAGCTGCAAGATACACTCCTTGCTGCTCCCCTGGTATTACAACATCAGGTTCCAATAAAAAGCTTTCTCTCGAGTGTCCTGCACACATTTGCGAGCTGATAACATGAAAAGAAGAAGCAGTGGTGGCAGGGAGGAAACTACTCAGATCAGGGCAGCAGTAAGGCTGGCAGACTGAGTGGTGCAGCAAAATTGACAGGAGCAATGGGTGCAGGCAGAAGCTATAGCACAGAATATCAGTTGGTAGCAGAGAGCTGTTACACAGCCTCAGGCCACTTGGGATAAAAAAGAGCTACAATACTTAAGGCCTCAGGTCATCTGGGGTATGGGATCAGTTGGCAGAGTCCCCACCATTGCAGGAGTTGTAACAGAGGACACAAACTCTGTGCAACTGTCCTTGCTGTCAAAGGTCCAGTGCTAATTGCTGTTGCCCACTGCACCACCTGCAAAAACCTGCAAGAGCCCAGAATAACTGCAGGAGTTTTCCTCATCTATCCATTATTTATATATGGGTAGAACAAAAGAACCCCAGTCAGCTTGTAACACAGCATGGCAAGGGAAAGGGCTGTGGCTTGATTATTTTTGAATATGTAGTTGTATGGCAGGCACTAAGCCTTCAACTCTTGAGGGTAGGAGTTATTATGTATAACTCTTTGGGTTACTAGAGTCAGATGCACAAAAAGTAACTCTCCTCTTTAAAAAAAAGTCGTAAGAAAGGCAGGATAGAAAACTATTATTTATTTAAGAAATTAGCTTGGCAGAGTGGCTCAAGTGCCTGCCTAGCAAGGCCCTGAGTTCAAACCCCAGTGCCACCAAAAAAAAAAAAAAAAAGTTAATATGTATAAATCATTGTGCTGAGAATTTTCACCCCCATTATTCCATTTAATCTGAAGAAATATTTTGTGGTTTTCTCAATTTCTGCATTTCATATCTGGAAATTGAGGCTCAAAGAGGTTAGACAACTTACTCTGGGTCTTTTTCCATATAAACATTCAATCTTGACACTTCATTGGTGGGTTACAACCTTCTAGAGCCCAGTACTATAAACCAAGTAAGAGGTGAAGCAAGAGTGGAAGACCCCTAATGCTTTCTAGATAGTAAAAATAACTTTTTTTTTCATTAGAGAACTATGAAATGAGCCACATGAAATGTGAAAATATAAATCATGGTTTTATTTGTTCTATGACAGTGTCAAAAAATGTGTGTTTTCATCAAGACAGAGAATGAAAATAAAGAAAAATTATGGGTATTTCAATCTTTTTCATGGAGAGACAGATCATTACCAACTCCAGACAACCTGGCCCCATCCTTCCTGCAAGTATTTTTTTTTTATCACCCTAGAGTATTGAATCGAAGACAAAGCTATGTCATAGGACCTATAACATGGAGGAAGACCATTAGGCCAGGGTGAATTTCATAACAGAGAAAGGACTGCTCCTCAAAAATACTTAGTACCTGTAGTAGGCTGAAAAATGACCCCTAGTCCAGGTCCTCATCCATGGAACCTATAAATGTTACCCTGTTTGGAAAAAAAGTCTTTGAAGGTATGATTAGGTTAGTGATCTTGAGATGGAAAATTACCCTGTACTACCCAGGTGGGTCTTAAATGCAATAAAAATGTTCTTTTATAGAGAAGCAGAGGGAGATGTGCACACATTCAAAGAGGAGGAGGCAATATTGTAAGAGGTGCTTAAAATGCTTTTCTGAAAAGCACTGACTCTTTACTTGGGTTCATGCATTAACTAAAAACAGGAGAAAAACTTGGCATCTCTGTCCCCATTTTGTGTCTGTTTTTGCTCTAAGCCATTTTCTCTGCAGTCACTTTGTAATCACCCCGGATTCCAAGAAAGACAGAATTGATAATATCTTCATGACAAGGGTGACAACTAGACTGGTGGAGTGGTAAGAGTGCCTGCCTAGCAAGCATGAGGACCTGAGTTCAAACCCCAGTGCTGCCAAAAAAACAAGACCAAAAAAAAAAAAAAAAACCCAAGGGTGAAAACTACCCCCACCAGTAAAGCCTCCTCAGGGTGGACTGCATGCCAGGTGACAATGAATCTAGATAACAACTCTGAAACTCTCCCAGAACAAAGACTGAGATAATGACCAACCAGACCACACCAGTGACTGGAACTGTTTAACTATGTATACATTTTGTCCCCCTCCACCAGTTCTTTTGTCTACTTAAACCTATAGCTCATGTCTGTACCCTGAAGATGGCAGAAGATGGGCTGAGTGCTTAACTCTGCCTCTTCCCATGGCATGTTCTGAGCTGTGTAATAAGCTCCTCCACTATGCCTTTCTATTTGGTGTATAGGGACAAATGGCTGGACCTAGCATGAGGAAACCCAGGAATTTAGGCCGTAGGTCCAAACTTCAAGTTTCATATGAAGACAGAGACAGAGATTGAACGATAGAGCCACAGCAGAGGCATGCCAGTGGTCAGGAGAATCTAGAAAGGAAAGGAATAGATTCTGCCCTTGAGCCTTTGGGGAAAGGGTGGCCTTGCCAAAAATTTGATTTTGGTCCAGTGAAACTGATTTCAGACATTTCAGACTTTTGGCTGCTAGAAATGAAAGAATGCATTTCTATTGCTTTTATTTATTTATTTATTTTTGTGGTACTGGGGTTTAAACTTAGGGCCTATACCTACCAACCCTGTTTTGTGATGGGTTTTATTGAGATAGGGTCTCACGAACTATTTCCCCAGGGTGACTTTGAACCGAAATCGTACTGATCTCTGCCTCCTGAGTAGCTAGGATTACAGGCATGAGTTACCAGTGCCTGGCTCTATTGCTTTAAGACACCAAGTTGGTGGTAATTTATTACAGTATCACAGGAAACTCATTCTGGTTGTTATCCAGGTCTTAGGTTACTGTGGTCTCCTTTCCCTTCCATCTAGTATCTCCAAGAAGAGTTTCTAAAACATCCTCCATATTTACTCAGTGTCTTCTCTGTAAGCATGACAAGTACTTTACATTCAATAGCTCACTGTATCCTCACAATCCTATTAAGCAGGTATTATTATTTTGAATATTATGAATGAGGCTCAGAGAAAAACTGGTCACACTCACAATAAGTCTGACCAAATTTAAAGACCACACCTTTACCTTCTACTCTGCACTATCTCAATCTTTCTGAGTTAGATTAGAAATTAATTCTCATATCAACTGATGACATTTTGGGACACTTATCTGAAAGGTATTTTCAAGGATGCGGACTAAAAGAGCCCAAACTTGTCTGGCCTCCACTCAAGAAACTGAGCTGACAGGCTGGATACATGGCTCAAATGGTAGAGTGCCTGCTTAGCAAACACAAAGTTGCGAGTACCACAACAAGCAAACAGCAACAAAAAACTGAGCTACCACTTCCATCTGACTTTTTCAGCAAGGAGAAGAGGATGACCAATCCTAGAATCAGGGAAAGCTCAAGGTCCTTTTGGCCAAACCACTCCTTTTATAGATGAGGATGCTGGGCACACTGAAGGGGAGGGGCTTGCTCTGGGTCACATGCACAGGGTGTGTATGAATGGTAGTTGCAAATGAAGTCCAGATCTTACTTCAAATTGAGGATTGGCTCTGTTACACATTACACAAACAAAGTCATGGGTTTTGCTATGGTCTAAGGTGCTGACCAAAGTAAGAACTTGCAAGAAGGGAAATGGAAAAACTCTGAAAGCTATAATGCCCAGGGTCTTCCTTCTCACCTGGGAGGCTACAGGATAGCTTGTGATGATGTTGCAGGAGGGCTCAGAGACTGAGAGGGCACCAAAGCTTTCCGGAAGGAAGTTTATTAAGCAAGCCGGTAGCGACTCAGCGGACTCATGTCCAAAGGCTGATCACAGAGAACAAAGGGGGCTTTTCTTATATACCATTTAGAGCAGGTTACAGAAAGGGGGTGGGTAACAGCTTGTCCCATACATAATCTCATGTTACTTCATTGGCTATTTAACCTCTGGGGCGAGGTGACCCTCCTCTGGTCTCCAGGTAACATTTCCCAACTCCGGTTGTCCTTTGTTTTACTGTAGCACTCATTAATCTCTCTCCCCCCTCCCCGCCTTCCTGCCAGTGTGCAGGGTACCGGGGTGGGCAAGCTTCTGGGTTGGGATGGAGACTGACAAGACCGTGATGACGACCACATCCCAAAGTATAAGAAGAATGTCATGAATTTATGAATTCCTAGAACGGAAGGGATTTCAGGAAGCCAGAGTGGCAGCTTTGAACAGATAATTCTAAGTTGTTACTTACACAATCAGGGAACTGGTTTTGGAAACTCAGTACCTTTACTAATGGTCAAAGTTGAACATTTTCCATCCATCTTTACATACCTACGTCTGCCCAATAAGTACTGAGTCTCTGCTAGTCCCTGCCCTCACGTTTAATAAGGTGGTTGGAAAAAAAGGGAGATAATGACTTTAAAGTACTCCATGAAGATTTAATACACAATAAGGGCTCAAGAAATGCTAACTGGAATATTAAAAGGTTAATTAGCAAAAGTAGCAACAGCAGCCATTGTCTATAAGACACGTTGGTCTCTTCTTGGGAGACTAAATCTAGAGACACTCTTTGCCCGGTTCCGCCCCGCATTGCATTCTGGGGTGTGTAGTCCGGAGGTGAGGGGCTGATTTCTCAATGCGCATGCGTGATGGCACGCTTTCCCGGAAGACCCAGCAAGTGCTCCCAGGATGAGCCGGTGGCGTTGGCTGCCCCTGCTGCGGCGGCATTGACAAGACACGACCTCTATGCCTTTCCGTCTTCTCATCCCGCTTGGCCTATTGTGCGCGCTGCTGCCCCTGCACCATGGTGCGCCAGGCCCCGACGGCACCGCGCCCGACCCCGCACACTACAGGTGAAGGGGGCCAGGCTCCAGCCCTTACGTAGTTGGGGAATGGGAAGCGCAAATCCGGTCTCTTCCCTGTCCCTCCATCCCAGGACCCTTACAGTGACATGCTTGAATCACGCTACTGGGTCCTCAGCAGAAATCAGCTGATAATTCCCACTTTCCGCCCTATTTCTGGTCGGTTCTCTCACCTGGCTTTGTGTTTTGGTTCCTGCCTTATTTCTCATCCCTCGCACCAGGGAGCGAGTCAAGGCCATGTTCTACCACGCCTACGACAGCTACCTGGAAAATGCCTTTCCCTACGACGAGCTGAGACCTCTCACCTGTGATGGACACGACACCTGGGGCAGGTAGTGAGAGTGGAGGGCCAAGGGGGCGGCCGGGTCTGGCGATCCGGTCTTAGGCGGGAGGGTCAGCTGGGGCTAGTGGCTTCCTGGTTTTGGAAAGTTCCCAGCTGGCCTGGGCCGCTGTTCCATGTAATTCAGACAAGTACCCTCAGGAACCGACGAACTCCGGCAGTGCAAAAGAGTCCTGGATTAGCCTGGTGGGCTGACCTTCTGGGCTCAGCCTCAGCAGAAACAGGCACCAGCCCTGGGAACTTGGGTAAATATCTGGAGTCATAGAATATTGTAAAAGGGCTCCAAGAGTCACAAAATCCAACCCAGGTCCAGACGAGGGGGAGAACTCTTCCCCAAACTTGAGTCTTTGTAGTTGGTGTTGTTACTGAAACACACTTTCCCCATTATCCTCAAATCACTGTTCCATGTCATCCATATTTTAGCTCCATATGGCACTTTCTTAGCATCAGTTCCCCTGAATATCTCCCCTCCAAGTCCCATCTTACAAATTACCTGTTTTCTCTGTAACACTTCTTGGATGTTATCAATTTTATTGACCTACTGGTTTGTTTTTCTCATTTCCATTAGAGTAAAAATCTAGGAGAGCTGGAATTCTCTCTCCTGCTCCTTGCTGAGTGAAGAATCATTGCATTAACTGAAGCTGACATATGCTAAGCATTTTACCGTAATCTTATTTAATTCTCTTACTGCTCCTGGGAGTGAAGTGCAATTACCCATTTTTTACAAATATTTACAAATGATAGCATCCCTTCCCATGCTAAGGACTAGGGAAGTAAACTCAGAGCTTGTACTCATTTTCCTTTTTAAGTTGGAAAAAAAGTAAATATAAACAAATGGCTAATTCAGATAGTATAAAATCATATATGATAAAATAAAGATCTCATACCTTACAACTCCAGCCACTCTTACCTTTCCTGTATACCCTTGCAGAAATAGTCTCACTTTACACCATTATTTGGCGTGCATATATATATCTTTTTATTTGTTTATTTATTTTTTGAGATAGGTTCTCACTTTGTAGCCCAGGTTGCACTCAAACTCGTGATCCTCCTGCCTCAGCCTCCCAAGTGCTGGGATTACAGACAGGCATATGCCATCATACCCAGCTACTGTGCATCTTTTTTAAGATTAACTTTTTAAAGATTAATTTCCAGATAATAAAATACCCTGATTTAACTGTATAACAGTTAACATACAAGATACTTCTTTCCTCTAAAAAGTTTCCTAGTATCCCTAGTGTCCTGTACCATCAGTGTCCTTAACAACTGCTAAGCTGATTTTTGTCAGTATGCCTCTCTTTTTGAAGTGCAGATGGGAACATACTGTACTGTGTTCTGTACCTTGCATTTTCCGTTTAACAAAATTATTTGAATATCTTTTCATCAGTACACAGAACACCTGATAACCATCTTTTAAAAATAACTTCATAGTTTTTCACTGCTTGTGCCATAGTTTAGTTTACTACTCTTCAACTTGTGGGCATTTGGGTTCTTTCTAGCCTTTTGCTGTTCTAATCAATACTGCTATGAACATTCTCAAACAATTATGTACACTATAAATTCTTAGATGTAAAATTGTTGAAAAGCTTGTAGTTTTAGCTATAATCTTATACTGCCTCTCCATGGCAGAGAAGAATGTTGGAGAATATAGGTGATTTGTTAATTACATTTTAGTTATATCAGCCCACCCTTCCGTGTGTGTGTTAAGTGGGTCAGAGAATCCCACCGATTTTCCCTGTGGTTTCTCTGTTGTGACTACAAGTGGGAGGAGCAGAGTCATCACTGTGCCTCATTTGGATTTGGGGGGGACCAATCTGGGATGGTTATATATCTGGCATTTGATTTTCTTACTAAGCAACTGGAATTTCTGTCCTTTTACAGTTTTTCTCTGACCCTAATTGATGCTCTGGACACCTTGCTGGTAGGTATCTCATCTATTCCTTTTCCTCTCCACTATTGCATAACTGATATCCTTCCTCTTTTGGTAGTTTGTCTGTGGGTAAAAAGTGAATTCCTCTCCTAGGCCTTTCATCTCATGATTCTAAATCACCAGGCTCTGGTTGGGAGCCTGATAGGAGATAGCCAGTGAGATAGGAGAGAATGGTGAGTTTCAACTTATTCAGGTTCATTTATTTAGCAAACATTCATAGAGGACCTGTAAGTACATGGACTTGTGATAGGATTGTAGAATTCTGTGAGGGATACAGAGACTTTGATATCCTCCTCCTTTTTAGAAGCTTACATTCTAGTAGCCATGTGTAATGATAATAAAATAATAGCAGAAATTAATTACTGTGTCATATATTGAGCTTGTGCTAAACACTTTACATATTATCTTGTTCAATCCTTCAAATAACCTCATGAGGTAAATACTTTTATTCCTTCTCACATCTGAGAAATTTAATGCTCAGAAAGGTAAAATGACTTGGCAGGATACACAGCTATTAAAAGTCGGAGCTAGAACCTGGACTTCATTTAGTATAACTCAGAGCCTTGACTCTCTTCCTTAAAAAGGCCACAAGAAAGCAATTACCAACTTTCCCCCAGTTCTCTGTCACTTTCTCCCTCCCGCTTCCCCTCTCTCTGTCTCTCAACATCTCATTATGTAGTCCAGGCTAGCTTTGCACTCTTGATCCTTATCTTGTCCTCCCAAGTACTGGGATTACAGGCACACACTACTATACTCTGGCTACTTCTTCTCATTTTTATATATTGATAGTATTTATGTAATTGTGAACACTACATAGGTATGATATAGGTTATAATTTCTTGGCTTAATTTGCATGTGCTTATCCATTCATCAACTATTTCTTGAAGGCCAATTATGTACCAAGCACAGTGATAAACTCTGGAGTTAAAATAGCAAGTTTAAATAGACATGGCCCTGCTTGCCTGGTGTTTGTGATGTTAGCAAGGAAAAGAATCAAAGAATAACCTTAAAGAAGGTATAATTACAAATTAAAATGAATGCTCTGTGGGAAAGGAACACAGTTCTGTGAATGGTCATAAAGAAGACTCTGACCTCGACTGGTGGACTGGCTCAAGTGGTAAGAGCACCTGCCTAGCAAGTGTGATGCCCTGAGGTCAAATCCAGTGCTGCCAAAAAAAAAAAAAAAGGAAATACAAAAGAAAAAGAAGAATCTGACCTAGATTGAGGAGGTTTTGGGAACTTCCCTAAGTCAGTAAAATGAATCTTGAGTTGGGATCTGAAGGAGAATCAGGTATTGACTGAGGTTTGAATTCAGGGTCTCATGTTCACTAGGCAATCACTCTACTGCTTGAGCCGCACACCCCAGGTCCTTTTGGCTTTGGTTATTTTGGAGATAGAATGTAGCTTTATGCCTAGGCTGGCCTAGACTACAATCCTGCTATTTACATTTCCTTCATAGCTGTGATGGCAGGCTCACACCCAGCTTTTATTGGTTGAGATGGGACTCAGTAACTTTTTGCCTGGGCTGGCCTTGATCCTCCTGATCTCTGCCTTTTGAGTTGCTAGGATTACAGGTGTGAGACACTGCGTCTGGCTTGATGTTAAATTGAGAGCAAGAGAAAGTCACTGAATTTCTTAAGTAGAAGGCAGGAAATGATGAGATTTCTGTTATGAGGTCACTGGCTGCAGTGTGAAGAAAGATTTGTGTAGTCATTCTGGAAATATTGTCAAGTAATTGCTTCATAAGCTGTGTCTGGCACTCTGGGGAAATGCAGCAATGAGTGAGACTTTTACCCAGGCAAGGATTTTCTTAATGTGGAAAGAAATCGATGCCCTAAGAGTTGTGTGGGTAAAGTTCTTGGACCTTTTAAAAGAAGAAAAAGTTAAAGGAAGAGTCAGAGGTTTCTTAGAGAAGGTGGCATTTAGACAGTTAAAGATCGGTTGGATTTCGAAATGAGAAAACATAAGAGACATGAGGCAGAGGGAACAACATGTGTAGACAGAAAATTGAGGAATCGTGGGTACAGTTTTACTGGAATGAATCTTTTTTTTTTTTTTGGCAGTACTAGGGCTCGAACTCACGGCCTCATGCTTGCTAGGCATGTGCTTTAGGCAGACACTCTACCACTTGAGCCACTCCACCAGCTCACAGTTTTACTGGAGTAGATGAAGGTAGGTTAGATGAAGATGAACAGTAAGACAAAATGGAAAGGTAGGTTGGCTCCAAATTATAGAGGACCTTGAGTCAGGATTGTTCTGGTTATAAATAACAGAGACCCAATTCATACTGATTTAGACAAGAAGGAAATTTACTGAATCAGATAACTAAAAGTCCAGATAAAGGCTACCCTCAGACCCAGCGGGATCTAGACATACAAATGATGTCATTAGGAGTCTCTTTTTCCATCTCTTATCTCTGCCTTCTTTGCTGCTATGTTCTCATGCTCCCCATAAGCTGACAGGTTAGCCAACAGGCTTTTTATATCCATTTAGGAAAATGGATATGGAAAGAATCACCCCTTTCCCATTAATTCCAGAGACTGAGTCTTAATTGATCTGGCTTGGATCACACCATATTCCTGAATCAGTCACTTGGCCAATAGACATGGTACTATGGCTGGTCCAAGTCAGGTGCCCATACCATAGCTGGGGAAATAGGGTCATCCTCTTCCAAACCACAGAAGTGACTGTGAAAGAAGGGTGATTCTTCAGGGGAAAACTGAGATGGTATTAACAGAAGAAAAGGTATTGATGTTGCATTTAGCTGATAGTTTAAAAAGAGAGGGTTTATTTTCTCAAATAAAAGAAAGTCAGAAGGTGATTTCTAGCATAGGGCCAGGTACTCAACTATGCCATCAGAGACCTGGGCTCTTTGTAGCTTTCTGGTCTATCACTATCAGAGTATTGGCTTTCATTCTCATGCTTGGTACCTCATGGTAGAACACAGCTGCCACCAGTTCAGAAATAGAATCTGCTTTTAAGGTAGAAAGATAGATGCAAGCTGTGTTTATCTGCTATTATTGGGAAAACATAAACATTCCCAGAGTTACCCCCAATAGACTCTGCAAACAGAATTGACTGGGTAACACAGTCACTGAGAAACCGAGCATCTGGATTTTTAGCCTCTGTGATGAGAGGCCATTGGGGTAAAGAAGATTGGAAATCAACCTGTAATGTTTTCCACAAGCTTGAATGTGCAGGAGAGGGTTAAAAATAACTGATATCTTTGTTGATATCAAGCTAAGACTTCCTTATGGAGTCTGCATTCTTTATATTGGATGCGTTTAAATGAATACATAATAACTCTCAAATTGGCACCTAGGAATTCACTTAACCAGTACCTTGATAATTGGTTTCTAGATGATTTCTAGCTCAGTGTCATCTTCTGCCCTGTGACCAAACTTAGGACAGAAATTGGAGGTCTTTTTTTTGTTTGTTTTTTTGGTGGGACTGAGATTTTAACTCAGGGCTTTGCACTTGCAAAGCAGATACTCTGCTGCTGGAACCACACCTCCAGTCCATATTGATCTGGTTATTTTGGAGATGGGGGTTTCACGAACTCTTTGCCTGGTCTGGCTTTGAACTGCAATCCTCCTAATCTCAGCCTCCCACGTAGCTAGGATTGCAGGCATGAGCCTCCAGCTCCTGGCTTGGAGGTCTTAATTGAATAAGTGAGGGCCACACCAGCATAGGAACCCAAAGTCAAAATCCAACATCTTCTGTGCCTCCATGCCTGAAAGAGTCTCATGGTCAGGTCTCTTTCTTTTCAGATTTTGGGGAATATCTCTGAATTTCAAAGAGTGGTTGAAGTGCTCCAGGACAACGTGGACTTTGATATTGATGTAAATGCCTCCGTATTTGAAACCAACATTCGAGGTGAGGCTTCCTTCTAGGGCCTTTGGAAGGGTGTGAAGTTGCTTCTATTAAAAAAAAAAACTGGTAAATAAAGGTCTTCAGGACCCACTCTGCCAGGGCTCTCAATCAAAATGAGTGACTGACTCAGGGCTTCTGTATACTTGGAGGACATGGGAGGGGGAGATGTCAGGGTCCTGCATCAGTTTCAGACATAAAAGTGAGCAGAGGACAGAGAACATGCTAGAAAGTAATATACCAGAATTACATAACTAAAATTTATCTGGTGCTGTGAACAAGAAAACTGTAATCCCTGCCTTCTTAGAGCTCACTGTCTGTCCAATAAAATTTTCTACAATGATGGAAATGTTTTTTATATCTGTGTTACCTGGTATGGTAGCCAGTAACCATGTGGGCTTTGAGCATTTGAATTGTATCTATTGCAGCTGAAGAACTGAACTTTTAATTTCAGTTCAGTTCTTAAAATTTAAGAATTCAGTTTAAAATTTAAATTTAAATTGCTATATGTGGTTAGTGATTATTATATCAGACAGTACAAGTTGAGAGCACTAGTTTTCAAACTTGACTGCCCATCAATACCATGTGGGATCTTTAAAAAAGTTCAGATACTGAAGGTCCATCCTAAACTTAATGACTTGGGATCTCTGGGTTGAGTCCTAACCAACATTTTCAGAAGTCTTTTAATGATTCTTGTGAGGCTCCCACAGCCCTTATTTGTAGTGACCTTCTAGACTACTAGTTTAAAAGCTTTCACCTCTGAATGGCTGAGTTGTTTCCTGCCTTTATTTCATATGTTTTCTGCAATCAAACTGATACGTCAGCTGTGTGATACCTAAGTGTTTAAAAAGGGGAAGAAGCATTATTGTTCTCTACAGTTGAAATTTTCCGTATCCTTGTATATTTACCACCTTTATGACGACCTTTCCTTCTAGTGTTTCAGATTTTACTACATGAAGTTGTCTTTATCTCACTGCCTTTGGCCTTTGGGGGTATTTTTTTGACCATATGGCTCTAGGTTGATGGTTATTTTCTCTTAGCATATTGACGAAAATTTTCCTTTGTTTTCTGGCTTCATTGTTGTTAAGAAATAATCTTTCAGTCTAATTATTATTTCTTTGTAGATAATTGTTTATGTTTTTGTTTTTCACTTTTACTTTCCCTTCCTTTTAAAAACTTTTATTCTGGAAATTTTCAAACATATAAAAGTCAAGACAATATAGTATAATGAACTAGATGTAGCCATTACCCAGCTTTAAGAATCATTGTTACATGGACTGTGGCTGGCTTTTAGGACCTTTTATTTCCAATGGTATATATAAATGTGGATTTCTTTTTATTATCTTGCTTGGGATTCTTGGGACTGAGAATTGCTGTCACTTCTTAGTTTGAAAAAGTGTTTAGCCATTTTCTCTTTCTGTTTTAGGAGCTCCAACCACCTGTATGTTATATCTTCTCACTCCATCCTTCAACTTCCTTTTGTATATTTTAAGGAACATTTTGTCTTTTTATGTTACATTTTGGATAATTTTTTTTTGATGAGACTAGGGTTTGAATTCAGGGCTTCATGCTTGCAAAGCAGGCACTCTACTTACCACTTGAGCTATACCTCCAGTTCATTTTGCTCTGATTATTTTGGAGAAGGGAGTCTCTCAGACTCTTTGTCCAGGTTGGCCTAGACCATGATCTTCCTGATCTCTGCCTCCTGAGTAGTTAGGATTATAGGCGTGAGCCACTGGTGCCCAGGCTTAAATTTTAATTATCATGTATTTTTTTATTTTTAGAAATTCTGTTTGGCCCTTTTATAAATATACCTGGTCATCATTTTTATTATTTCTTCCTTCTTACTCATATTTCATTTTCTTTTGATTTCTTTAAGTATATTATGCATAATTATTTCACTGATAATTACATTATGTCAAGTGTTGGTATCATTTCTACTGTCACTTCTTTCTGCTGGCTTTTATTTGTAATGCTTTTGTTTCCTTTTATTGCCTTGTGACTTAAAAATTTTATTTATTACCTTTTTTTTAACTGTATTTTCACTTCTTAGACTTTATCTGTAGGATTCTTTGAGGACTGTGTTGAATGTGAGTTCTTCCAAATACATTTTTGTTGGTTTCTGCCACCTGGCTTAAGGTACTACCTACGAAAACCCACTTCATGTTAAAGGTTCGAGGTTTTCTAAACTATCCAGTTAATCTAAATTCAGACTGTAAAACTTTAAGAGTCCCAGGTTGTGGTTACTAATTCTTGGGTGGGGGGTTGTTTTTATTTATTTGGTTTTATCCCTTCCTTTTATTGGGCATCAAGGTTTGAGGCATAGAATTTTTCTTATGTACCCTAGGAGAGGTGTGCAGGGTCTATTTTTAATTTATCCTTATAGAGTATATAATTCAGGTTTCCAATTTCACGCATAGTCCTTTTCTCAGACTTCCCATGTCGGTCAAGTCCTGCCTTTGTCTCTGTTCCTCTTTGCCAGGAGGAGGGGAAGAACCAAAGCTTAAGGTCACCAGTTATTTTTAGTCAGAGGGCCATTTCTGATATCTTTTTAGCTATATTTCCAGTATTTCCAGTCACAGAGCCTTCATCTTTTTTTTTTTTTTTCGGAACTGGGGCTTGAACTCAGGGCCTATACCTTGAGCCACTCCACCAGCCCTTTTTTGTGAAGGGTGTTTTTTGAGATAGGGTCTCTTGGAACTATTTGCTTGGGCTGGCTTCAAACCGCGATCCTACTGATCTCTGCCTCCTGAGTTACTAGGATTACAGGTGTGAGCCACCGACACCTGGCAAATTTACCATCTTCACCATTTTTTTTGGCTGTACTGGGGTTTGAACTCAGGGCCTTGTGCTTGCTAGGCAGGCGCTCTATCACTTGGACCACATCCCAGCCTCCCTTTGTCTTTTTATAAGTCCTAAATATTGCATAATTAATAAAAATTGATAAATTAGTAAGATGAAAGTAATAACTCCTGTTTTCTCATCCTCCTCAGGCATGGTAAGTGATTGGGAAACAGAGTGACAAAATGGAATGAGCATGGACTTTGGAGTCAGACAGACCTAGCCCTACAACCTACTAGATGGGTGTTCAAGGACACATCACTTTACCCCTCTGACACTTAGAGGGGGCATCAATACCTAGCACTTGGTCCACAGTAGGGACTTCAAAAGGTAGCCATTATTTTTGTGACCCACCAAGAGAACAAATTTTGTGAATTTAACACTGTACAAATATATGAGATTAAGGATTGCTCTTTTTGCTAGTGGCTGTAGCCCCTTTCCAGTAAACCACCCCAACACAGTGCTTAGGTTTAATTTGCAGAAGGGACTGGTCCTTGGGACCATGACACTTGTGTTTTGTGCCACCTGTAGTAGTAGGAGGACTCCTGTCTGCTCATCTGCTGTCAAAGAAGGCTGGGGTAGAAGTGGAGGCAGGATGGCCCTGCTCTGGACCTCTTCTGAGGATGGCTGAGGAGGCAGCCCGAAAACTTCTCCCAGGTAAGACCCATATAGAGATGGGGAAACATGAAGTCCAGTAGAGCCCACTTCCCTTGCTGTAGATGAGCATGGCAATGCTGAATTGTTTCTTGTTTTCACCCAAATACTCTGTATTCCTACCCTCAAGTACCTACTGTGGAGATCACAGGAATCCTGGGCATTTTGAGGACTCTCTGAGGTGCTGCCAGGCTGGATGAACTGACTTCGTTACTGTTTGTAGGTGTGGGCTGAAGGCTGTCCTGCCTGGTACATGGTCCATGCCCTTATTTTGAGTGAGTGCTTTCGCCCCCTTCCAGGCCCACATGCTGCTGGAATAACAGCCTCAGGGAAGAGCCTTGGTCTAAGCATTAGGAGTTGCAGGTTCTACACTCCTCTCTGCTAGCCAGCATCTTGACCAAGTCACTCTCCCCTCCATAGTTCATTTTCTCCATTTCTCATCATTTCTGCCGCCCTCCCACATTGGGTTTTTGGGAGGCATAAATGAAGTCAGACACGAGAAAGTACTTGGAGAACCTAAGAACTAGTGAGGTTTTATGGCTAAGCTGTGTCCAGGGCTGCAAGCCAAGCTTTAGTGTTTTTGTCCAGTGGGGCAGCAGCACTGGGCTCAGCAACGTCAACTGGACACTGTGTTCCCTTCAGGGTGTGGTAGAGGTCTGAGGGTTGTGCACACCCAAATACGTCACAGTGTGCTTTCCACTAGCCCCTCGGCCATCTCACTTATTTATCTCTCGCATGCAGTATTTGCCTCTCATCCTTGGGGACAGCCGAAGTGAGCTAGTGAGCAGGGTTCAGGTCTCATTCATGGCCCATGGCTCACAGCCTGGTGTCTCCTAGCAAACATCATATCCTGTGTGATTCATCCCTAGAGGAAACTGCCTTGTTGCTCCTTCTTCTTTTTTTTTTTTTTTGTCATTTAAAATTTGTTTATATTGAGAAATATATATATATATATATATATATTCAAAATTGCATATTGAATAATAATAAAGCAAGCACCAGTGCAGCCCCTTGCAGGTCGAGAAGGAGGACTTTCACTCCCTTCTTTTTAATACTTCCTTCCTTTTCCAAAATACTCCCTCGAGATATTCTTGTTTGTGACTCACATTCTCCTTGTTTGCCACTCGCACCTACCAGATAGCAAGTTTCTTGTCTATAACAAAAGTTGCTGGACCTGTAAGTTTTGACACTTTTGTTCACAATTTGGTGACGCCCAGGCTGCTCTACAGTTGTTTGACCTTTGGGCCTAGAGAGGAAGTCTCTGCCTTGGGCTGGTTGTTGAGTTCTTGCCTTGAATCAGAAGGCATGGGGTGGGGTGAGCAGAGCATTGGGTTGGGGTTGGTGGGCGAGGGAATGGGCAAGCTTTTCTAAACCACTCAGTTTGAGTCTTCTGTGTGACCTTTGGCTGAGTCACTTCTTCATAGGCATGATTTTTCCTACCTGTAAATTGGGGGTTTGGAGGTTGGACTTTATCAGTGGTTTAGTAATTGACATCCTGGTTTTTTTTTTTTTTTAATTTGAAAAATAACTGCCTCTGAACTTTTTACTTAAAGAAGGGATCTCACACTGGCTCCTCTGGGACTACTTAGGATTTGCCAGTCTGCTTCATTTGGTCAGAGTGGTATTGTAAAAAGTCTATGAATGGCTTCCAGTGGAATGTGCTCTTGTCCCTGTGCCACAAATCCCACTACTCCCTATATCTTACTTGCTTCATACTCAGTTACCTGCCTGACCTCAGAAGGCAGAGTGTAGAAAAAATAAAATCAAAGTAGAGTTACTTTACCTAAGTGAGATGTGTGGAGCTCAGCTCACTCCAAGTCCCTGCATCATGGCAGGAGCCCGAGGTCATGCAGAACAGCGTTTGACAGTATCTGGCCTAGGTGGCTACTAAGTGCCCTCCAGTGTGACATTTATCCTTCTCTGGCTTAGACCACCCAGGAGAAAAAGAGAAGTGCTGGCCAAGGTCTCAAGGTTTGGCGCTGTTTCCAAACCACCCCTACCTTCCTGCTCCTGTCTGGAGTCCTAAGTTTGTGATTGTTTAGCCTTTCAGACACCCACTGGCATGCCCTATGGGACGGTGAACCTGCTTCATGGCGTGAACCCAGGAGAGACCCCTGTCACATGTACAGCAGGGATTGGGACCTTCATTGTGGAATTTGCCACCCTGAGCAGTCTCACTGGTGACCCTGTGTTTGAAGATGTGGCCAGAGTGGCCCTGATGCGCCTCTGGGAGAGCCGGTCAGATATTGGGCTGGTAGGTCAGCTGCTGCCCTTCCTGTGTGAGTCAAGCCTGCCACCACGGCCCCTGCTTGGAAGCCCAGAGCTCCAAGGAACAAGTTACAGTTCAGCCAGCAGAAACTTAGGGTGACTAAGAGTGGCCTAGGGCTTAGGCTTAGGACACCAAACATGTTTTGACACAGAAGAGGAGAACAGAAAGCCCATCCTCTGGTAGAGAGCAGGGCTGGGTTAAGCTTTGAGTTCTTGAGCCTATCTGATTTCTAGAAGGGAGTCATGTTTTATGCTGGCCAGACATACATCCCATCTGGCCCTCATTTTTTTTTTTTTTAAATATGGAATGCTTCACGAATTTGCATGTCATCCTTGCACAGGGGCCATTCTAATCTCTGTATCGTTCCAATTTTTTAGTATATGTGCTGCTGAAGTGAGCACTGGCCCTCATTTTTAACATCTCTCTGTATGCACAAAACTGTTCCTTAGAAGCCAGTGCTGAGAGATGTTGAACGGCAGCTGTTCTGTGAAACAATGATTCCTGGTCAATTGTAGGGGATTCTTGCATAGGACAGCCTTTGTTTTTGGAGTCACAATGAACTTGAGCAGAATAAAAGTTATGAAATCTGATGGTAAAGGAACCTATTTAGCTTTGCTTCACATTTCTCAAGCTCATTTGACCCCAGAAATTCCTTTCCCCCTTCAGTTCCTATTAATAAATAGAAATTTAACATACTTTGCTAGGCCTTTTTTTTTTTTTTTTTTTTTTTTTTTGTGCACTCAGGGCCTTGTGCATGCCAGGCAAGTGCTCTCCCACTGGGCTACATCCCCAGCCCTGAAAATTTAACAAACTTTGGGCCAGATAATCCTCAAGGCTGGTTTTGGCTCCTAAAAGAGACGGTTATGTGAAACTAACAGTAATTGAGCCAAAGCTATCCAGGAGATAACACTGGATTTTGTCAGAACCAGATTTAAGCCCTGGCCTTACCACATCAAAACTGTGACATGAGGCAAGTTGTTTAACATCTCTGTCTCAGTTATTCCAGCAGTAACATCAGTATATTAATACCTTGTTTACTAAACAAAACAAAACAGAAACAAAAAAACCTTATTTTCTGAGTCTTTATGACTTTTTTTAAAGACTGTATTTGAAAATGATTCAAGAATAGTACACTATGTATATTATGGCACTAGGTCAACTCGAAAAGTGGAACTTCTGTTAGGAGTCTTTGAAAGTCCCTTAAGAAGGTGCCATTCTGAGGACTTAGAGTAAGTCTCTTAGTCAATCCAGCACAGGCAGGTTCTTCTCCAGCCCCGAGACTGTTGTGGATTCTGTTAGTGTCCTGCCTAACACCCTTTAGATCTTGCCATTTCTCTGCACATTGGCCTGTCTACTGCCTTCACCCATGTCCCTGGGCCTGTGGGCCTCCATGGTGCCTGGAGCTTACTCTGTTTGTCTTTGGCTGAAACTCCCAGGACCTAATGCTACCTGTAAGCAGTTCTTACCCACAGATTCTGATAGGAGTTTGTATCAGAAGGTGCCTCCCCACCCCCACCTTGGTGAGGTTACTCTGAGGTGCATCCTCTATACTGAATCACACAGTTCCCAGGACTGAACTCCAGTTCCCATGATGGAAACTTGCTTGGTCACTCAACCCTTATGTGCTACCTCCCCTTCCCTACTTCACTTGCCCCTTTCTCCTCTATCGGTATCTCCAGGGACTCACCTTCCAAACCAACTTCCTTAGTTTTCCTTGCTGAGGGTCAACCCTTGGGGAAACCCAAACTAACACAGAATGATTAGCTGTGTCTTTTCAATTGATTGCCAGTTGAAATTATCAACTTCCAGGAGGGTCTAAGTAACATAGAAAACATCTGTTCCTTTAAATATTTTTAACATTTTTTTATGTGTGATACTGGGGTTTGAATTCGGGGCCTCAGACTTGCTAGGCAAGTGCTGTATACTTGAGCCGACATTTGTTTTTAAAAGGCTTTATGAGATACCTTAAAAGCAACTGAGGCCAATAGGAAAAGGGGACCAGGAACTAGACAAAAGGTTAGATCAAAAAGAATTAACCTAGAAAGTGACACACATGCACAGGAAATAATGTGAATCAACTCCCTGTATAGCTATCCTTATCTCAACCAGCAAAAACACTTGTTCCTTTCTATTATTGCTTATACTCTCTCTTCAACAAAATTAGAGATAAGGGCAAAATAGTTTCTACCGGGTATTGAGGGGATGGGGGGGAGAGGGAGGGGGCGGAGTGGGTGGTAAGGGAGGGGGTGGGGGCATGTGGGAGAAATGACCCAAGCCTTGTATGCACATATGAATAATAAAAAAAAAAAAAAAAAAAAAGAAAAAGCAGGGAGAAAGGAGTAATGAGAATGTAATGGAGGGGGTGAACTTGTTCAAAGTATACTGTACACAATATGGAATTATCACAATGAAATCACCTCATATTAGTTAATGTATGCTCATTTAAAAGTTAAGAAATTAAAAATATAAAAATAAAAACAATGTACTTCCCACTTAAAAAAAAAAAAAGGCTTTATGTTCATGTGAAAATCAAAGGCTACAAATATGTACACACTGGCCAGGCACAGTGGCTTACCTTTATAATCCCAACTGCTCAGGAGGCAGAGATTGAGAGGATCACAGTTTGAGGCCAGCCTGGACAAAAAGTTAGTGAGACCCATCTCAGCCAACAAGTGCGGTGGTACATACCTATGGTCCAGGCTACATGGGAAGCTGTACATAGGAGGATTGAGATCTGAAGCTAGCCCCAGCCAAAAATTTGAGACTCTATCCAAAAAATAACTAAAGCAAGAAAGGGCTGTGTGCAGAGCTAAAGTTGTAGAGCACTTGCCTAGTAAGTGTGAGGCCCTGAGTTCAAACCCCAGTAGCACCAAAAAACAAAACAAAACAAAACAAAAATACCCAGTGACATTGGTGAAGTCCCCTTTGACCCCTGTTCACCAGCTATCCATATCCAGTTCCTTTCCTTAGAATCAACCATTCTATCAGCTTCCTGAGTGCCCTGCCTGAGTTAACTTATGGAAATGTGTAAAGTATATCTGTGTCTTTAGACACCGGAATCACAAGCCTAGTGCCCTGAAGTCTGAGACAGATTGTGGAAACATCAGGGTCTCATCTCTCATCTCACACTCACACTAAGCAGGGCAAAAATCATTCTGAATCATTTTTTCTTTTTCATTTTTGCCCAGTGTATGTAATTAAGTCCTCAGATATGTTTATGAGATGCACCTCCACTGTACGTATGCACAGAAAGGTTGGTCATGGTCCAGCCTTGTTGCCTTTCCCATAGTCTTCTCCAAGAAGCACTGAGGTGCCTGCCTTGCATATCACTGGTCATTGGGTGGGGGAGATACTTCTTTGGTCTGGGGCCCTCCCTGTATACCATGTGTCTCTCTCCTAGGTTGGAAACCACATCGATGTGCTTACTGGCAAATGGGTAGCCCAGGACGCAGGCATCGGGGCGGGTGTGGACTCCTACTTTGAGTACCTGGTGAAGGGAGCCATCCTGCTTCAGGATAAGAAGCTCATGGCCATGTTCCTAGGTAAAAGGGAGGGTAAGGGGCTTCCCATGACATGTGGATGTCGATGTATGGAACTTTATAAACCTGGGACTTTCTGCCAAGAGCCATTCAGAGTACCCGTGTCCATCTTCAAGGTCACTGTGGGCTGCCCACTTGATGTCCATTGCACCTCTTCATGCCTTCTTACAAGAGCCAACTGAGCCATTCTTCATTCTCTGACCATGGCCATTACATATGGTGTTTTCTTTGCCTGGAATCCCTTTTTTCTTCTCTTTTTGTGTCCAAATTCCATTCACCTTTCAAAGCTCAGCTTAAATGTCTTTGTGCCTAGGAACCAGTTTGATCCTTCCTCAGAATTTAGTGCCTTCAGCATCTTTCTTGCAGTCAGCTGGCATCAACAGTTTTACAGCTCTACCAATTCAGTATAGAATTCATGCCTTACTCATGTTTGTATTTCCCCCAATCCTTTGAGTGAGGTAGGTGAGAGATGAATGCATTACCTTCAGACCTTTAGACACTAGTAATAATTATCTTGAGGAATTGTCTGTCACTAGTAATAATTATTATAGCTACTATTCATTTATTTAGAAAATATTTACTGAGTATTATTGATGTGCCAAGCACTGAGCCAAGCTCTGAACATGAACTATTTCCCTTAATCCTCATAACACTCTTTGATGTTGCCTTATTTATTTACATTTGGTAAATATATTTGTTATGTACTGTCCTAGTGTTGGGGATTGGACAATGAACAAAACAAAGTCCCAGCCTTCATGGACTTATTACCTAGGAAAGAGGTATAAGTTCAAGTTTACCCTGGAATGTTAGTTCCATGTGGGCTGGACTTTGTCTTGTTGACCACTGAGCACCTACTAAATGCTTGCTTATTTGTTGAATTAATAAATGACTGAACAATCCCACAAGGGATATAATGTTACTTTCCCAATTTAACAGAATAAAATTGAGGTTTTGAGTGGGAAGTTTGCTCAAGGTCATGGCTAGCATATGGTAAAGCCAGAGCTGGAAATTAAAGCTGGAAGTTTGATTCCAGAACCCATGCTTCTTACTAGTCACTTGCCTCATTGTATCCTAGTCTGCTTTGTGGCTAGGCCATCGTAGAATATTTCAAAAGTTCAAGTTCATAATTCTGTTGTCAAGGTCTGCCTTTTATCTCCCTAATTACTCATGTGTCCATTATCCCATTTCTCATGATGCAGAGTATAACAAAGCCATTCGGAATTACACCCACTTTGATGACTGGTACCTGTGGGTGCAGATGTATAAGGGGACTGTGTCCATGCCAGTCTTCCAGTCCCTGGAGGCCTACTGGCCTGGTCTTCAGGTAAGATCAAAGAGGGCGATATTTTTCTATGAACGGCAAAAGAAGCTTCTTCTAATGTATCATTCAAATAACAGAAGATGGAAGAAAGATCTAGAATGAGTTAGACTGATACATGATTCTACCAAACTGAGTTGTCCAAGGAGAGAATTAAGGCATCCGGAATTGAACTTCCAGTTTGGCATGGCATGTTTTACCATTTACAGTATTGTACACGGTGTCTTTCCAGGTTGAGCAGGAACAACCACTAACAATAGCTCTTTTTCCAGTGGGCATTTCTATCAAGTTTCTTCCTTGACAGTGGGTAGGGCTTCTCTGCCCATCATCAGAATTTTTTTCCTGACATAGTGTAAGGTTTTGAATAGTTGCACACGTTTCTTTTTTCTTTGAACCCATATTTCTGTTCCATTCCCACAACAGGAATTTTTATTACTGTGTTTTATGCTGAAAGCATTTTATTGATCAAACTATCATGTGTTTCTGTAACAAAGTTGTATATACACAGAAATATAAAATGGTTTGACATTTCCCATAATCATAGGCTGAATAATGGTTGTAGTTATCGTTAAACGTGTTAGTATATAGTTGCTTAAATAACATTAACAGCTTATACTTTTTGATAATTATAAAACCTAAAAACCTAAAAACAAGTTTTATTGGAAATGTGTTTCTTACTGATTTGGGAAGGGTGCATTTATGTGTGAATAATAAGTTACTGATAAATGGTGCATGGTTGAGGATCAATTTTATTCCTGCTGTTTACCCTTTTAGATATAAGTTCTAAAATAAATGCTACTTATTTATGCACTTAAATAGATGGAAATAGAAGGGATCTGATTATTGTGATACCATTCAGTTACTTGAAATCATTCAGTTAATAGATTGAACCACATAAAATTACTAGCTTTCAGTCACCTTTGATCTATAAAAATGGTACTACATTGCTCAGTCTTTATATGGTTAAAAATTACATAATGAACTTGTTTAGACTTTTTGTCACTATGATAAAATACCTGAGCAGAATAACTTAAGGAAGGGATGATTTATTTTGGCTCACAGTTTCAGAGGTTTCAGTCTATCATAGCAGAACAGAGTAGCTCACATCAAGGTGGAGGGTAGAGGGGAGAGAGAAAGAGAAGAGAAGAGATGAGAGCCAAGAGAGAAAACAGAGAAAGAAAATGCCTTTGCTAGGGGGCCTATTGCTTTTTCCCCTTTTATTCTATCTGGGTCACCAGCCTATTGAGTGGTACTGCCCACATTCAGGGCTGATTTTCTCTTAGTTAATCCTCACTAGAAATATCCTTATAGACACCCCAGAGGTGTGTGTTACTGATCTCTTTCTCAGTCCAATCAAGTTGACAATCAAGATTAACCATCACAGATTGCTCATCAAAAATTATTTTTAATGATCTCTTTGCTGGGAGTACTGGGATTTGGATTCAGGACCTTGGACTTGCTAGGCAAGTATTCTGCCACTTGAGGCATGTCCCCAACCCTTTTTGCTTCAGTTTTTGTTTTGTTTTGTTTTTTTCTAGATAGGGCTTTGCACTTTTTGCCTGGGCTGGCCTCTGTTCTCGATTTTTCTACCTGTCTCCAGATAGCTGGAATTACAGTTTTGGAATACCATGCCTGGCATGTTTGTTGAGGTGAGGTTTTGCTAACATTTTGCCTGGGTTGGTCTCAAACTAAAATCCAATCTGTGCCTCCCAAGTAGCTGGGATTACAGGCTGAGCTGCCATGTCTAGCCACAAAAGGATTTGTTACTCAGTAGTTAGAATCATTCATTTTCTCAACACCTACACTAGTATTGTATTTATTTATTTTGTAGTACTAAAGATTGAATCTAGACCCTTAGACATGCTAGGAAAGTGTTCTACCATTGAGCTTTTTATATTTATGTATTTCATTTTTTTAATCTCCCTACCTACCTACTACCTATCTCCTATCTATCTATCTATCTATCTGTCTATCTATCTATCTATCTATCTACCTATCTATCTGTAGCTTAGGCTGGTTGCAAACTTGCTATCTTCCTGCCTTAGCCTCCAGAGTAGCTGGGATTTCAGGCCAGTGCCACTGTACCTAGCTAGTATTTTAAATTTAACGGTTTGGTGCTGAGGAAGTTTTTATATACCAGTTTTTATACCTCAGTAAAGTTAGAGATTGTTGGTAGGTACATCTTGCTTTGGTAAAATGGGATAAGGATGCTTATGAGGCATGAGACTGGATAACATGTCTTTGTGTTATAATAAGTACAAAGCCTGTTTTCCTGTTTTAGGAAAGTTAAGAATCTAGAAATCTATTTCCTTAAAACTATTTGTGATGACATTTGTCTTGGAAAACCTTCTTGTACAATCCAGCCATAGAATTTATTACACCCTTTGACTGTATGTCTTTCCATTTCTGTGTTTATTCACCAATAAAGTAATGCAGCCTATACACAAATGCTGTCAGCAGCAGAGTTCATGACAAAGCAAAACTAGAAATGATTTAAATGCTCCATAATAGAGGAATAAATACACAATTATACTTTAATGGAATGGATTTTAAGTCACTTTAATTTCTTTTCTTTTTTTTTTTTTTTTTTTTGAGATAAGGTCTCACTTTGTATCTCAGGCTGTCCTCACTATGAGGCCAGGCCAGCCTTGAACTCTCAGTTCTTCTGCCTTAGCTTTTAGAGTGCTGAGGTTACATATGTGTGTCACTAAGCCCAACGTAAATAACTTTAATTTTAAACTTAACTAAAATGTAAACTCTTGCTATAAGAAGTGATGAATGAGAATCAAGCAATATGAAAAAATAAAGATTGTTGATCAACTGTAGTGAGGAATTAGGAGTTTTGCTATATAGCCCAGGCTGACCTCAGATTTATGATGTAGCTCCAGCTGGCTTTAAACTTTCTATCTTCCTGCTTCTGCCTCCCAAGTTCTAGATTATGGGCATGTGCTATCATGCTCAGCCTTTAAAAAAATTCTTAGGGTGGTGGAGTGGCTCAAGAAGTAGCATGCCTGCCTACTAAGCATGATGTCCTGAGTTCAAACCCCAGTACCACCACCACCAAAAAAATATATATATATATCTTGGACTGGAGGTGTGGCTTAAGTGGTAGAGCACCTGCTTTGCAAGCCTGAAGCCCTGAGTGCAAACCCCAGTCCCACCCAAAAAAAAGAAAATTCTTAGAGTTTTAAAAAAATTCGAGCTGGGCATGGTGGTACATGCATGTAATTCTAGCACACATATGGCCGAGGCAGGAACACTGTTAGTCTCAAGGCCAGCCTGGGGTTGGGTACATAATGAGAGCCTGTATTGGAAAAACAAAAAATTCGTAGGTAAATGATTCTTCATGTGTATGTGTGTGAGTGTGTGTGTATGTGTTACGTGATTTGAACTCAGAGCTTTACGCTTGCTAGGCAGGTACTCTACCACTTGAGCCACTCTGCCAGCTCAGGTAAATGATTCTTTAAGTAGACTTAACAATAACTCATATACTTTGAACTAGAAATCCTAATTCTGGAAATTTATCTTACAAATACACTTTATGTAAGTTTGAAGTGACATATACATAGAGGTATTTTTTTGTAGCATTGATTGTTTTAGCAAATAGAAAAAGACTGGAACCAAGCCATTTGACGATTAATAGAGAACTGATTAAACTTTGGTAAGCAATAGAATACTCTGCAACTGTATAAATAGGAGGAAAGCACTTTATGTACTTAAATGGAAAAAATCAGAATGTCTTGTTAAATGTGTTAAAGGAAAGTACAGAACAAGATGCTTAATAGACTTATTTTTAGTGTAGGGAAAATAACATTAGTTTTTGCTTATGTTTGCATAAAGAAACTCTGAAAAGTTAGTAAGAAATTAATAAAAATGGTTATCTGTTGGGGGTGTGGGGTAGCAATAAGACAGCACAGTCAACCTTTTCCCTATCAGGATTTTGAACCAGCTGGACAAATTAAAAAACTACTGGTAGGTAGCATTGACCATGAAGGTTGAGAGATTTAATACACAATCTTGGTTCCTCCTAGCAATGTGTGAGATAGGTGTTAAATTTTCCATCATATAGATGAGGCCCAGAGACGTTAACTCTGTGGTTCAAGACCACACAGCAAGTCAACAGCAGATCAATTACTTCTTTGGCTCCAAAGACTTTGTTTTGTCTTTTCCTAGAGATCAGTTCTGAGGTTTTTGTTTGTGGGTTTTTATACCTGGCGTCTGCCTACCTGACCACCACTTCTCTCCCACAGAGCCTCATTGGGGACATTGACAATGCCATGAGGACATTCCTCAACTATTACACTGTATGGAAACAGTTTGGGGGGCTTCCAGAATTCTACAACATTCCTCAGGGATACACAGTGGAGAAGCGAGAGGGGTACCCACTTCGACCAGGTGAGCAGTGTCTCTGATCTGTAGCAGGCCTATAGGTTTTGATTCTTCACACTCTTATCACCCTAATCATGCACAGGTAAGTACCTGTGTATAGTACCAAGACTGTTTTTTCCAACCCAGTGTTTGGGTGCTTTTCCTAGTAGGAATTATTCCCCCTCATATTTTCAAGTATAGAAACTGAGGCCTAATGGGTTGAAATGGCATTCCTAAGGCTGTTAAGTGCAGGAGCTGGAACTAGAACCCAGGTCTCCTATGCTCTTTCAAACTTGGGGAAATGAATGAGAAGGAAAATGCCTGGATTTCCCCTTTGAAGTTTCTGCTACCAGGATTTCAGAAGTGCAGGCAAACTTTCGGTCAGTGGGTTGGATAAATTATGCTTCTATAGTAGTATTGGTAGAACTTTGGGATCAACCTTAGGCATCACTAGTCTTGTCCCCCTCTCCCTTTGCAACTCAGAATCAAGGAAAGGAACACACACTAAGCACTGTCTTAGTTCTTGCCACCTCTGTTGTCCTCTGATTCACTGCAGTAAAGTTAAAAAATTGTGAGTCAAGAGAAGGGAAAGGAGGACAGAGACCAGAAGCTTAGTCAGCACACAGTCATCCCCACCCCAGTGTAGGTTACATTACCGTTATCTTGGCCACTTTCCACCTTGCCAAATGAACTGCCTTTGAGCCATGGGACTGGCGTTCCTAGTTCTTCTGCCTGTTCTGCCTTCCTATACTGCTTTCCTTCCTCCTCTAATCCCAACGGTTATTGTGGGACCTTGTGAGAGGACAGAGAATAAAATCACAGTTGTAAAGGGAGAAATTCATTTTGGACTCCTCAAAGGCTGGTGTACTTCATTTGTTCTCATGGTATTTTTAAAGAGAAAACTCTTAGAAGGTATCAGTCATATTTAGTGTTATCATAGTTTAGGACTAAATATAAGATGTAAGCTTACGCAATCTCAGGTTTAGAGGAAGCTGACAGGTCTTCTAATTATTATTTTTTTTTTTTTGAAACTTGAGTTGCTTTATTTAGCTTCCAATTTCTGGGAGGCTCAAGAATTTTAAGTATTTTGGACAACAAAAGAAAATAAGACTGTGCTTACATATCTTTTTCTGCCATATTCTTTCTTTAGGACTGCTGTTTTATTGTTGCCCCTTTCTGTTACACGGGATGTACACATCAGGTGTTAAAAGGTACAATACATTCTACAACTGAGCACCACTTTCTGTAACTGAACAGGTGAAGAAATTACACTGAACATCGGCATCTGGCAGTATTTTTTGGAAAAAAAAGTGACTAAAATGGGTTTAAATTGATTAACACTATTAAATCACATCTAATATTTGATACTACATGATTCCATACAGCTATACGATACAATTATACAAAATATGTTAACATCAAAGAATACAACCAAAATTTAGATAGCAAACAAAACCTATATAACTTTTTTTGTACAAGAAAATACTTTTGAAGTATGCATGTAACTGCCCATTCTTTTAAAGAAAATCTACTGCAAGCAAAGTTATCAACCTCCAGAAGAATCACACATAGCATTACTAAGCATATCCCCAAAAAGTGTACAATATGCACACTTGAAAATACAAAATTAAAAACTTGTAAGCAACAGGTGAGCTCCATGTTTATAAGAATGTGAAAAGAAGTCCCATTTTTAGCATTGTTGTATAAAGAATTGTCTTTTGATGCGAAGTTCATGAATTGTCCTCCTGTTGGGACCACACTTTACAAAAACACCGTGTTTTTGAAACGAGATTACAGAGCAAGATAGAGCATCTTAGCAATGTCATCTTATTTAAAGTTTTTTTTTTTAATTTTTACTACTTTATCAAAACATGTCCTTAGGTGTGTAGGATTCATTTTTAAAATTCTTCCTAGAAATAATATACAAAGGAGAGGCGTATGTATTCCCAATGACACTCCTGAAGATGCTTCCCGTGGCCGAGAAGGGTCTTCTCTCTTCTTTTCACTGGTTGTTTTTGGCTTTAGCATGTGTTAAAATGTGAGATTTCAGGTTAGTACAGTACCCCCACCAGTGGTTATTTATTCCTTGTTTAGTTACCACTAGTGACAGCTTGCTGCTTACAGAGGCAGCCTGTTCCATATACAGGACAGGCTGACAGGAAGGCATTAGATGATAGTAAGGCACTACTGCCAGGAATACAGGAGTGCCTTAGTCTAGTCACTTTTCCTTCCCCCAAAAAATAGCACATGGGAGATTAGGTACTACTCTAGAACTGGACGGGCCAGTGTGTTGTACTCTGGTGCATGTCTCTGATCACACTGTTAATTACAGAGCCTCTCCTAAAGTCCTCCGAGGGCCTCTACCTCCTCCTCAGTCCAAATCTAAACCTTGGACTTCACCCTCCTCCTGAGTTGGCTAGAGGAAAGTAAAGCACTAGTTAGCAAACTAGGGCCATGTGTGAGGAAGAGAAAACAAGACTGGCTTTGACCCAGCCAGCTGCTGGAAGCAGAAGGGAGGCCTCTCAAGAGGTCTTTTCTGCGTGTGTTCTTCTGCCAGTTAAGTGTGCCCCAGACTGCATCACAGAATATGAGCAATTGGATTAGCACTTTTCTAGGGGGCTGTCAGTGAGGGAAGGGAGAAGAGCAGAGACCTTTTCTCCAAATAAGAGCTAGATGGGGCTGAGACTGTAACTCAGTGTAGTGAATGTGCCTAGCATGGGCAAGGCCCTGGGCTCCATCGTCAGCACCACAGAATGGCTAGATGCATGAATGAAAGAAAGAGAGAAGAGCTAGTTTCCAGTATTAGAGCAGAAGGGAGAGCAGTGCCAATTGAGGTCCAGGAGGAAACAGGAAAGGAAGAGATCAGGGGAAGTGTTGGCAGAGGGAAGGGAGAGGAGTTCTTTCCTCCGAGAAAAGATGGGTGATGAAGTAGAAAATCATATTTGAGCTGTAGCTTCTACCCTCAGTGGGAAGTCAAATCTTTCTTTTCCATAACATTTCTTCAGGTATTGGAAAGCAATAAACATGTTTTCCTTTCCTTTTCCAGAATAAATATTCTCATCTGGACCCACTCCTGGTGGCTAATATCTAGCTTAAGCTAGGGTGTGCACCTGAATATCACATTCCAATTGTGGTGTAGAATAAAGCAGACTCTCACTTATTTTGGGCACAGCAACCCAATGAAACTTGATGTTTAGCTATCTTTATCTTCATGTTTTCGTCAGTCCTGTCTTAAAAGGACCTTAGAATGACACTCATACCCTTAAGCTTTAGGATTAGATTAGGGTATGAGTGACAGAAAAAAAAATAGTAGCTAAATTAAGATAGAAATTCATTTCTTTGCTATATTCTGGATGCATATGACTCTCATGGTGTCTTAATCTCACCTAACATCTGGGAATAATTGTTAGTCTATTCTGTTACTAAGGATGAAGGAGGGAACAGACATTGGGAAAGGGCTGCAACCTCTGCTACCTTTTCTGTCCTGGAGCCTGGCTGACTGTCCCTTGAGTAGAAGTCCATGGTCAGCCTTATGCTTCTCTCCTTTGCGAAAACTCAGCATTGGGTGAGATAGCCCATGTTCCTCCTTGTTGAAGTCTTGTGCACCACTTATAGAGGGGAGGAGTTCTTCACTGTCTTTCCTAAGTGGGTCCCATGCCATGCTTGCTCAGCCACTGGATGAGGAGAGTGTGCTTGGCCTTTGCAGAGCTCATCGAGAGTGCGATGTACCTCTACCGTGCCACAGGGGATCCCACCCTGTTAGAACTTGGGAGAGATGCGGTGGAGTCCATTGAGAAAATCAGCAAGGTCGAGTGTGGATTTGCAACAGTAAGTGTTTCAGGGGCCCAAGGACTGGGAAGTGACTCCCTTTGCTGCTGAGGAGCCTCTTTAAGGGTGGGGCTTTGGAAGTACCTGAACATTAGTACTAAAGGGGACCTTAGAGGTAGACGTAAGTTAAGAACTGAGGAGCTAAGAACCTTGCTGAAAATCACATATCTACTGGAGCTAGGATTAGTTTCTGAGGGTCTTGACCCCAGGCCCTTAGCTTTTCCCCTGCATCAGAGATTTTTATATGGCTGAATAGGTACTTTGCAAAATGAGTTTTGTAGAAAGTTTTGTGAGAAGGCTTATAAAATGGATTTTGAGAAGGGAACTCCAGATTCCCATTGCCCTCCTCCTCCCATATTCAAACCTAGACTCATTAACAAAATATCCCTATTGGACTGACAGGTATTTATTAATGTATTTCTGTGCCAGGCACTATGCTAGGTCCAAGGGTTATAGTGACAAAAAGGACAAGCCCCTGCTCTCATGGAATTTACATTTTAGTCAGAAAAACAATGAAAATGGGCCAGGTACGGTGGTGAACATCTGTAATCCCAGCACTTAGAAAGCTGAGGCAGGAGGGTTGTAAGTTCAAGACCAATATGGGCCATGTTGTGAGACCCTGTCTCCAAAACAACAACAGCAGCAAAAACTAAAACCCAGAAAAAAAAAAGAAAATGTATCTGGGAGACAGAAAGAAGGCCAGTGTGAATAGAGTGGGTAAGGGGGGGAATAAGAGGAGAGAAGGTCCCAGACAGAGGCAGGGGCTAGATTCCATACCTCATGTAAGCCAGGGGAGAGTTTGGATTTGGGTCAGCTTACAATGAAAAGCCTTGGTACGCTATTCAACAGAGCAGTGCTGTAGATCTGACCTGATTTATATTTTAGAAATATCAGTCTGATGCTCTGTGGAGAATGGATTGAAAGGGGTGAGAGCTAGCTCATATCTGTATAGGACCCAAGCAATAAGATATAAATAAACAACCACTGCAGACATAAAAATGGACATGTAAGAAAATAGTATGGGAGACAATTCCCCCCCCAAACCTACAGAGTTTGTGTTAGAATGAAAAAATTTTTTTGGAAAGTTTTATAAGTGATTTGATTTTGTAGGTAAAATATAGAGCCATATTTTAAAAAAGAAGACGTGTGTGTGTGTGTGTGTGTGTGTGTGTGTGTGTGTGTGTGGGAATAAAGCAGTGATAAGTTTTAATTTCTGATGTGTTGTAGTTTGTGAAAAAAACAGAAAGTGATCAGACCATTGGGACTTGCTTAGGAATGCTAGACTCATTTCCATGAAAATGAAGTCCTTTGGAGGTCTTCCAAGAGCATGATGGGAACAATCATTCTGTCTTTGTCAAACAAGACAAGAAAATAAGGCTTAGTGCATCAAGTCCATATTTGAGTCACATTTTTGTCCTCCGAGAATTAGTTTTGTTTAAATGTATTATTCTGAGAAGCTAAAATTTGTTAGTAGCAAGTCATCTTACTCATCTATGTCTGTAAACTCTGTTGAAATTTACAAAATTAGACTTCTGGTGAGTTATTTACAATAGCAAAAACTTAGTAACTACCTTGATGTCCAACAAGGGAAGACTAGCTAAGTAAATGGTGATGTATTTTGATGATAGAATAGCATGTCGTTAAAGGGGATAAGTCAGTCTACATTTATAGTTACAAAAGGGTAGGATACAAGGGTTAGGAGGTTGTCCTGTCGTGTAGGACAGTCAGGGGAGACCTTTCTGGTGAGGCAACATTGAGAAAAGACCTGAAGAAAATGAGGGAGCCAGCTCTGAGTATTTCTAAAGGAAGAACACCCAGACCAAAAGAACAACAGCTGCAAAGAACTTGATATGGGAGGGAGCTGTGAGCTCAGGAACAGTAAGGCCATATGGCCCGGAGGGGCAAGAAAAGGATCCCAGTGGTAGGAGATGAGGATGGGAGGAAGCAGGGGCTGGAGTATGAGGACTTGGTTTGTTTTTTTTAAGGACTTGGTTTTTAGCTTGGGTTAAGTATGGTGTCAACGGAGGATTACAAAAAGAGGAGTGACAGGTAAGACTCATGATCTGTGCTGTAGGGTAAGGATGGAAGCCTCAAGTGCAGTTGTGATAATCCCAGTGAGAGATGGTGGTGGCTTAGAAAAGAACGAAGCTCCAAGATGTGATTCGCCCAAAGGCTCTTAACTACTTTAGTGACAAAGCAGGAGTTCATAAAGGGAGGTCACCTGACCTTATTACCAAGCTGTGATGCTGTTTTGACTGGCTACCTTCTCCCACACTGCAGATCAAAGACCTCCGAGACCATAAGCTTGACAACCGCATGGAGTCCTTCTTCCTGGCAGAGACTGTGAAATACCTCTACCTTCTGTTTGACCCAACCAACTTCATCCACAACAATGGTTCCACCTTTGATGCGGTAATAACCCCCTATGGAGAGTGCGTCCTGGGGGCTGGTGGCTACATCTTCAACACAGAAGCTCACCCCATTGACCCTGCTGCCTTGCATTGTTGCCGGAGACTGAAGGAGGAGCAGTGGGAAGTGGAAGACTTGATGAGGGAATTCTACTCCCTCAAAAGGAGATCAAGATTTCAGAAAAAGACAATGCGTTCGGGGCCCTGGGAACCTCCGGCAGGACCAGGCACACTCTCCTCACCTGAAAACCATGACCAGGCGAAGGAGAAGCAGCCTGCCAAACAGAAAACCCCACTTCTTAGCTGCCCTAGTCAGCCTTTTACCTCTAAGCTGGCATTGTTGGGACAGGTCTTCCTAGATTCCTCATAACCACTGGATGATGTTTTATTTTTATTTTTTTGAGATTAAACTATAATAATGTGCTTTTGGCTATCACATTTTACATATTGGGCTATTTTCATGAGATTTCATTCAAAGAAAGGGTTATGGCTAATAACAATTGTTGAACCTGTTCATGGTTCTCATGGTTGAAGAAACAGCTAAACCCCAAGTTAGCTGGCTCCAGAGACCCCAGAGCTCCTCCTTCTTTTTTTGTTATCTTTGGGGATTGTATTGTTACCATCACGTTTCTTTGTTAGTTCTTGCCCCAACCTGTTCTTCTGCACTTTAACCCTTTAGTTAGTATCTTTACAATCCTTCCAAGTAACAAGAAACATTAGGTCAACAAAGTTGCAGAATATAAGCTCAATACACAGAAATCAGTTGTATTTTTATATACTTGGAATGAACAATTCAAAAACAAAATAAAAACCATTCCACTTACAATAGCATAAACAAGAATAAATTGGGCTTGAGGTGTGGCTCCAGTGGTAGAGCTCTTGCCTAGTGAATACAAGGCCCTGAGTTCAAACCCCAGAACCACCAAAAGACAAAACAAAATAAAACACAAAGAATAAATTACTACCAGGCACCAGTGGCTCACACCTGCAATCCTAGCTACTCAGGAAGCAGATATCAGGAGGATTGCAGTTTGAAGCCACCTTGGGCAACTAGTTCACAAGACCCTATCTCAAAAAACCCTTCACAAACAAGGGCTGGTGGAGTGGCTCAAAGTGAAGGCCCTGAGTTCAAGCCCCAGTATGGCAAAAATAAATAAATAAATAAATAAATAAATTACTTAGGAGTAAACAAAAAGAAGTGCAAGACTTGTACACTGAAAACAATAAATTTTATTGCATGAAAACTTAAAGACCTTGGACTAGAGTTGTGGCTCAAGCAGTTAGAGTACCTACTTTGCAAGTGTGAAGCCCAACAGTTTAAACCCTAATTCCATCAAAAAAATTAAAAAACTTAAAAAGATTTCTAAGTGGAAAAAAATTTCCATGTTCATAGATTATAATATATAATATTGTGAAGATGACATTGCTACCAAAATTGATCTACAGATTCAATACAATCTCTTTCAAAATCCCAACTGCTTTTTTTATTTTTTTATTTATTTATTTTTTAATTTTTATTTTTTTATTATTCATATGTGCATACAATGCTTGGGTCATTTATCCCCCCTGCCCCCACCCCCTCCATTACCACCCACTCCGCCCCCTCCCTCTCACCCCCACCCCCTCGATACCCAGCTGAAACTATTTTGCCCTTATCTCTAATTTTGTTGAAGAGAGAGTATAAGCAATAATAGGAAGGAACAAGGGTTTTTGCTGGTTGAGATAAGGATAGCTATACAGGGAGTTGACTCACATTAATTTCCTGTATGTGTGTGTTACCTTCTAGATTAATTCTTTTTGATCTAACCTTTTCTCTAATTCCTGGTCCCCTTCTCCTATTGGCCTCAGTTGCTTTTAAGGTATCTGCTTTAGTTTCTCTGCGTTGAGGGCAACAAATGCTATCTAATTTTTTAGGTGTCTTACCTATCCTCACCCCTCCCTTGTGTGCTCTCACTTTTATCATGTGCTCAAAATCCAATCCCCTTACTGTGTTTGCCCTTGATCTAATGTCCGCATATGAGGGAGAACATACGATTTTTGGTCTTTTGGTTGTACTAGTTTACATTCCCAACAAGGTAAGAGGGTTCCTTTTTCCCCGCATCCTCGCCAACACCTGTTGTTGGTGGTGTTGCTAATGATGGCTATTCTAACAGGGGTGAGGTGGAATCTTAGTGTGGTTTTAATTTGCATTTCCTTTATTGCTAGAGATGGTGAGCATTTTTTCATGTGTTTTTTGGCCATTTGAATTTCTTCTTTTGAGAAAGTTCTGTTTAGTTCACTTGCCCATTTCTTTATTGGTTCATTAGTTTTGGGAGAATTTAGTTTTTTAAGTTGCCTATATATTCTGGTTAACAGTCCTTTGTCTAATGTGTAGCTGGCAAATATTTTCTCCCACTCTGTGGGTGTTCTCTTCAGTTTAGAGACCATTTCTTTTGATGAACAGAAGCTTTTTAGTTTTATGAGGTCCCATTTATCTATGCTATCTCTTAGTTGCTGTGCTGCTGGGGTTCCATTGAGAACCCAGAGTATTTCCTACTTTTTCCTGTATCAACTTTAGAGTTTTGTGGTGTGATATTAAGATCTTGATCCATTTTGAGTTAATATTGGTATAGGGTGATATACATGGATCTAGTTTCAGTTTTTTGCAGACTGCTAACCAGTTTTCCCAGCACCAACTGCCTTTTTTAGAGAAATTGACAAATTGATTTTAAAATTCAGATGGATGGAAATTTAAGGAACTTCAAAGAACTAAAACAATCAAGAATAACAACAAAGTTCAAACTCCAGTACCAAAAAAGTTTTTTTTCTTTTTGGAGGTACTGGGATTTGAACTCAGGACCTCATGCTTGGTAGGCAGGTGCTCTACTACTTAAGCTACACCCCCAGTCTTTTTTTGTTTTAGTTATTTCTTCAGTAGGCTCTTGCATCTTTTTTGTCAGGGGCCATCCTCAGACTGTGATCCTGCTATTTATGCCTTTCACAAAACTGGGATGATACATGTTTGCCACCATTCCTGGCTTATTGGTTGAGATGGGGTCTCACGAAGTTTTTGCTTTGGCTTACCATGAACCATGATCCTCCTGATTACTATGTCTTGACTAGATTATAGGCATAAGCCACCATGCCTGGCCCTAAAATTTAAAACTTTTTTACTTTGTATTTCAAAGGACACTATCAGAAGTGCAAAGATTTCAGGCATAGTGGTACATGGTTGTAATCCCAGCTACTTGTGAATTAGAAATCAGGAAGATGAAGGCCAAGCCTGCCTGGGCCAAACATCAGAGTCTATGTATCTGGAAAATAACTAAATTAGGCAGGGCTGGGAGCATGGCTCAAGTGATAGAGCGATTGCCTAGCAAACATGAGGCTCTGAATTCAAACCATAGTACTATGAAACTAATTTTATAAAATGTAAGAAAATAAGTAAAAAGATGACCTATTGAATAAAGAGAAAATAGTTGCAAAGCATATATCTGATAAGAGTCTAATAACCAGAATATATAAACTTTACAACTCAACAGGAACAATACACAAAAACAGTGAAACACATGAAGCTCACCATCTCTAGCAATAAGGAAATGCAAATTAAAACCACACTAAGATTCCACCTCACCCCTGTTAGAATAGCCATCATCTGCAACACCACCAACAACAGGTGTTGGCGAGGATGCGGGGAAAAAGGAACCCTCTTACACTGTTGGTGGGAATGTGACTAGTACAACCACTCTGGAAAAAAATTTGGAGGCTACTTAAAAAGCTGGACATCGATCTACCATTTGATCCAGCAATACCACTCTTGGGGATATACCCAAAAGACTGTTACTCCAGAGGCACCTGCACATCCATGTTTATTGCGGCACTATTCACAATAGCCAAGTTATGGAAACAGCCAAGATGCCCCACACTGACGAATGGATTAAGAAAATGTGTATCTATACACAATGGAATTTATGCAGCCATGAAGAAGAACGAAATGTTATCATTCGCTGGTAAATGGATGGAATTGGAGAACATCATTCTGAGTGAGGTTAGCCTGGCCAAAAGACCAAAAATCGTATGTTCTCCCTCATATGTGGACATTAGATCAAGGGCAAACACAACAATGGGATTGGACTATGAGCACATGATAAAAGCGAGAGCACACAAGGAAGGGTGAGATAGGTAAGACACCTAAAAACTAGCTAGCATTTGTTGCCCTTAATGCAGAGAAACTAAAGCAGATACCTTAAAGCAACTGAGGCCAATAGGAAAAGGGGAACAGGTACTAGAGAAAAGGTTAGATCAAAAAGAATTAACCTAGAAGGTAACACCCACGCACAGGAAATCAATGTGAGTCAATGCCCTGTATAGCTATCCTTATCTCAACCAGCAAAAACCCTTGTTCCTTCCTATTATTGCTTATACTCTCTCTACAACAAAATTAGAAATAAGGGCAAAATAGTTTCTACTGGGTATTGGGGGGGGTAGGGAGGGGCGGAGTGGGTGGTAAGGGAGGGGGTGGGGGCATGGGGGAGAAATGAACCAAGCCTTGTATGCACATATGAATAATAAAAGAAAAATGTGAAAAAAAAAAAAAAGAAAAAGATGCTGAGCATCATGAGACACCAAAACCACAGCTGAATACCATTTCTGCACAGGTTCACAGTGGTTTTAACAAAAAAAAAAGAAGCATAAATGTGAATGAGGATGTGGAGAATTTGGAAACCTCAGATGTTGGTGGGAAGGTAAAATGGCGTGGCTGGTTTGGAAAAAAACTTTGGTGGTTCCTCGAAAAGTTAAACATAGCTAGGGGAGTAGCTCAGTGTAGCGTACTTGCTTTGATCTCTAGCACCCAGAAACAAACAAACCCAACCTAGGTACCACCTAGACCAGCAACATCACTTGTATATATGTATCCAAGAGAAATAAGATCATCTCACAAAATTTTACATACCAGTGTTGATAGCAGCATTATTCATAATAGACAAAAGTGGAAACAGTCCTAATGTCCATTAACCTACAAAGGGACAAAATGTGGTGTGTCCGTACAATGGAATATTGCTCACCCACAAAATGCAATGAATTACTGGTAAATGTACAACATGGATAAAGCTTAAAATAAATGCCAAGTGGAAGAAGCCAAATACAAAAGGCCACATATTGTATGATTCCTTCTGTATTAGTGTTCACAATAGATGATTCCATAGAAACAGAAAGTAAATTAGCGGTTGCCAGGGAATAAAGGGGAGGGAGAATTCATACTCGGTATGAATCCTCTGATCAGTGACAAAAATGTTCTGGAACTAGATAGTGATGACAATTCCACAACTTTATGAAAAAAGTAATTTTTTCATTGAATTGTCACTTTAATAGGATGGAATTTATGGTATATGAATTATAATTCATTCAGTATTGAGATATATCTCAATATTTTAAGAGGCAAAAGAAAAGAAGAAA